CTCGAGGAGCAGTACAGCGGACAAAATTCTCAGAAGCATACCGTTCCATCTTTACACTCAATCAATCAGACTTAATACCCCTTTTTAAACATGTCAACTGCAATTATTTGTCTACCAAAGGTCATGCGCCTACAATTCTGGAATTGAAACAACATGCGCAAGCATTGGTTATTCTCCTCAAGCAAATCACTCTTTCCACACGCGCAGGAACTGTCGATAGTAAGAATCAAAAAGCGGTTACCAAGTTTGAGGGAGCCCCGAGTTTCAATGAAAATGAAACTTTCGATTTTCTCAATGATTTGAATAATGTATATGAGAATAATACAGTCCATCACAATCTACCACTTCCTACTCTGCTCAATACATTGGAACCTCAGTATGTCGAACCGGGAACAATGGTAAATCCAGGACAACCAGATCACTTTGTCGAGATTGACGTCTGTCCATTACATGAAGTGGATCCAACTCCTGTTGACGGTCCATCGCTTCCATATGCTACCCATGAAGCGCTTCTCAAACACGCAAACGAAGTACTCGAACTCATCGACCATGAATATAGTGCCAAGGGAGGTTTACTGGGTGTGCTTCCCCATGAAGATGACGATCACAATCGACCCCTAGCAGAAACAACTCTCCTTGGTCAAATGATACTTTACATCCAACGACTCGTCGCACGTCTCCATAACCTCGAACGTCTTCATGCAAATGCCATGGACGTGATGAAAGGTGAAGCCGTCGTCCCTCATCAAGCACTTTCCCGCGTGGGACCCGATGGACGTAGTGGCCGCGAGCTCGTCTACCCACAAGACCGCTTCGTACTCGTCAACTCCGGCGATGATATCTGGCAATTTCTCAATGATGAATTCGAAAAGAAAGAACGAGTCGACGAACAAATTCGTGCAAATCATCTCCGTCTCGGCGTCGAAGGGGAACGTCTCTGGGAAACCAAAGGTGGAAAAGAGTATTCCCGTGGTATCACCGCCATCGACGTCATAACCCGCTACTATCGACTCCGCAATGACTCCCTCAAGACCATCTTCGTAATCCCCGCGCACGCCGAACATCCCGGTGTCAAAGTAACTCGCGAAATGGAACGCAACCCCACCGTCGTCAGCGTCGTCAAACCCGTCTGGCCCGAACGTGTCTCGGTCTGGGAAAAGAAAACCCGCGACGATCTCGAAGAACTCCGTCAACTCCGTCGGGACAACGCATCTCTACGTGAAGCCGCCGAAGTCGCAAACACAGAACGCACGTATCTCCTCAACGAAGTCAAGCTCCAACGCTCCCACGTCTACAACGCGAAAGAAAAATGGAAACGCTTCACCGAAGGCCCCGACTTCCACGAACAAGCCATCGAGCTGCAGACCGACCGCGAAAGTCTCGCCAAGGAACGCAAAGATTTCGAAGCCCAGCGCAAACAACTCGATACCCGCGCTGCAGATCTCGACGCCCGATCCCAAGAACTCACTTCGCGCGAACAAACACTCGCGAATACTCGGGCAGCAGACGCACGTCAATTCGAAGCTCGTCGCGCCACGCTCGAAAATCTATATAAACAGCGCTTGATTGATCTAGAGAATGATCGCTTGGCCGCGGTAGAGAATGGCACGAGACTCGCGGATGAGTTCCAGAGGGCCTGGACGGAACAATTGGAGAATACGCAGACGTTGGTGGATTTCTTGAATAGTGATCGCGCGAAGAGTTTGTTGGCGGAGAATCTCATCCCCGATGATATTGGGAAGAGGGGGTTAGGGGCGCGCAGGAGGTGGTGCAGAGGGTTTTGGAGAAGTTGGCGAATCCGCAGGGGAGACGGAGTGGGCGTTAGCTTATTAGGGGTGGCGGGGAGTTGTAGGAGGGATGAATGGATGGATGAATGGGGAATTCTATTGGCGTTGTTTCGATACAAGAGGGTGGATTTGTCGTTTTGATTATTCTGTATTCTCTATCTTTTGTTCTTGGGAGAGTTAATTAGGTGGGTGGGTCACTAGCTCGGTAATTCAACTGCTTGTATGCGTTTCTGTCGTCTCTGTAGTACATTCTAACCCGAATTCCTTCCAATCGTCCTCCAACTCACTCTCTACTTCTCTTCAAATCTTGACTTCACTCCATCAACACTATCAACTCCATCGGCCCAATAAACCTCAAAGTAAAGTATAGGTCTTCGATAATCTAGCGAGAGTAAGGAATTCCAGATCCAATAATTCCACGTGAGAAAAAGGTGGAAAGGAGATGGGAGAAAGAAAAAGTTGATTTGAAATTGTGAATCGGGCTGGATTGTAGATGACGGGATGAGTGGATGATAATCTACTTCTCGTCATTGCGAGTCTTGCTTTGATGGATTAGGAAAGAGAAAGGGAAGGGGAAGCGCGAGGGAGAAGGAGAAGGAGCTTCAAATTGAGATTGTAGATTGTAGTTGTGATTGTGGTTGTGGTTGTAGTTGTGATTGTGGTTGTAATTTAGAAGTACCTTTGATATCTTGTTTCTCTCTCTCCGTCACATGCACATGAACCGACACTATTTCCACTTCGCAACTCTATCTCTTGAGAGACTGGTTCGGTTTGCTTTCAATCGCTTGTGGGTAACTCATTATTTTCATGTTCATTTTCATTTTCATTTTCCAATCTCATATTCTCAATATGTAAGATTCTCTTCTAGTCTCGAGAATCATTCATGTGTTAGATGAGGAATACTATTGTGCTAGTAGTAGGAATTAGATCTTATAGTAGAAATTGTTTTTTTAGTATACTCAGGTAATAAAGCGAGGGAATTCTTTGTGGGATGTAGAAAAGTTTTCAGATTTGGAGATTTTGGGGGGGGAATACTTTGTAGAAGTCTAAGAAAGCGCCAATAAGTTGTAGGTGTAGGATTATAGGATCAGCACATTACAAGTCTTTTCAGCCGGCTTTCGAAGTACCCTGTAGTGGTAAAGTTAATATTCCGGACAAAGATAAATTCAATATAAATCCCTATACAAATTTCTATTTTATATATTACAATATTAATATATACATTTGTTAATAATAAATAAAGCTCTTCGTTATTAACAAATCAAATCAATTCTTTTTGCAACCCATTTATTATTGAATTTTAATGGAAAAAAAGAAAATAAGAGCCCTAAAAAATCTTAGGAATTTCGAGATCTTTGAATATTAGAATTGTAAATAAAATGGATGAAAAAAAGCAAGCATACAAATTAGAGAGAAATCAAAGAGATAAATTAAAGCTAAAAAAGAAAAGAAAGAAATAAACATAAAAACTAAAAAATAGATAGAAAATATTAGCCAAAAATCTAAAAAAAATATCTCTATTACTTACCATTCACTTTCAATTTATTCTTCAATCAAAAGTTTTATTATTATACTATACAATATAGAATGTATTAAATAAACAAGAGAACAATCTAATTTAAATATATATAGATATTTCAATTTGAAAATAATTGTTTTAGGCTAAAACTTAAAAGCTTTTTAAATTCAAAAATTTCATTAAAACCTTATTGATTAGAATAAACCTTGTAAGGTATAGAGATTTAGATTAATTATATTAATATTTTAAAAACGATTTATTCAATACATAATAAAGGTATTATAGAATTTATGGCAATTACGAAAGGATCACTTCGTCAACCACGGATTCTGCCACCACAGGGGTAGTCTCAGCCGTTCAGCTGGTTTTAGTTTGAGTACTGTATAGATCGCGTAAATGATCCTTCATCTCATCCAATACTTTGGAAACTCCCTGAGAGGAATCTCTTGATATCTAGATTGTATAGCTTTGGTATTTCGGGAGGTGTATCTATAATAATATAATCTTCATGGCGGATTGGATTGGATTGCTGGTTGTGAGATGCTAGGTTGAGTACTTTTGTCGTTTTGTGGAGATTGTACTTGAGGTAAAGGCGAAGGACTTGTTTTTTTTTTCTTTTTTCGTTTTTTTCTTGGGATAAGGTTTGAGAGATGGTTAGTGGATAGATAGATAAATAGATAGGTAGTTTCTTGAGGAATCTTTCTCGTGTTTTGGGGAGTGGAGAGAACTGCTAAGTTGAGGATTTAGCTACTTTTAGCCTCAACTCATTTAGTGCGAAGAGGAGAAAAAGGAAGGAGAAGGGGAACACTAAGCGAAGAGTAAATGGTGAAAGATTGAGAGGGATGAAAGAGAGGGGCATAGAGGCATCCACAGGGTTTCTCGCTTCAATCTGGCGAAATTTACACCGATTAGACTAAGAGTAATATAGCGGTTGGGAGTTCGAATATCAGGTATTATGGATCTACGGACTGTTTTTTGGTGGAATTTATGTTGGAAGCTTTTTGTATGTTGGAAGTTACTCATACGTTTGATAAACTGGCGGGAAGGGGGTCCAGTTGTTGGTTCTCCACTCGGTTAGGAGGGGATTTGAGAATATGATACATCTCTGATTTATAACATAGCTAAATGTATTAATCGTATCGTTCTCACTATTCGTATAGCCTCGTATTCATTTGGAGTACCAACTGTGAATAATCTATGGTTCGGGTTCAACGACTGGCTTATCACTGTACGGCCAGACGTATCAACCGGACAATCTCGCGATACTTGTATACTCTTGAAGCAATGAATGATTTGCGGCTCGCATTTGGTAATTCCTCGCAATTACAGCATCATGTTGCAGTTCTGTGCCGTACTGTAGTATTTACCCTCATTATTTTCTTTGAAAAGGTGTTCTGCCGGAGAACAAATTTAGTCACCCAAATCTCCCATACCTCCTGATCATATTTTGGGCATATCTTAAACCTAAAATCATCTGGGTTATGAGTGTGTCTGTGCGCAGGATGGACGCTATTTCTACTTCATTCATGTCTACGACAATGCATCGACATGGCAAAGACATAAAGTCTTCGCTTGTTTCTTCCCATTACAGAAACATCAACAATACTTTCAGAAAGACATTCTTTAGTATTCCATACAGAACCATTCCAGAAAATTCAACTCCTATTAAACAGAAAAATATTCGACATCACAAAATGTCTCATCCTTGGCTCGTTCAAGAACAAGACCGCTGCAACTATGGTCTTCAATGGCAGCAGGTAATTGCCACCAATCAAGCACCAAATGTCGTCCTCGGTCCACCAAACTTCCATTATCCTCCAGAGAAGAACGTATTTGCTGTTCAGGGCGAACAAGATCAGCAATATATTCAAGACTTCGAAACCAACATTCGCTCTCCAATCAAAGATTTTCTTGTCTCCGAGCTATCTGATTGTACATGGACCTTGAATATACTGCGTCTCGGCTTCGAGAATAATAGATGCGATAATCCAGTTGTCATGCACCTTTTCATTCAAAAGTCAGATTACTTCTTCGACCATGGAAACAATGCTATCAAGGTCCTGGAAGGCATGGAATGGGTCATCCCCCAGAATACGAAAAGTCCCGAGAAGTATGTATTTCTTTATACTCACTTCAAGTTATTCATTTGGATATTCAACTGACATGTCATACTTAGATACTTCATCGACATTTGTCAAATTTATAGTTCAACACTGAGAAGCTCCGGATTGCAAAGCAACCGAGGTGTTGATCTCACTCATAATTTTGAGAAAATATATGAAGAATACACTCCACTTCCTGGTCTTTCGATCGGACGCGAAGAATACAGTGCTGCTGGTTCCTTGACTGGCTTCCTGAGACATAACGATGATATCTACAGTCTCACTTGCAGACACGTTGCTTTTCCGGACAAAAACTTTCGGACCGGTTACAAATATCAGAATGGGAAGGAGAAATTGCAAGTATCTATACCTGCAATGAAGGATCATGCTGAAACCAAGAGCAAATTGAAATTCGCTCTTGATAACATCGAATTCGAAACCAACAATGTGCGCTTCGAGGATGCGGCCAGTATTGACGAAGAGTATATGCTGTGCATAGAGAGACAAGAAATGCGTCGAAAGTTGACCCTCGCTCGATACAACGCTGCTGAAGACTACTATCCTAATGCTGGCTATGTTTCTGCTGCCCCAGAGGCATGGCGCAAAGTTTCTGGTTATACTGGAAATCTCGATTGGGCTATCATCCACAACGTTTGCGTTGGTACCAGTAACACAATAAGTCCTTGATTCTTTTTCAAGATCAATTTTCGCACAAGAATACTAACTTTCATCGCAGTTACCTCGAACAAGATTCGTAGAAGAAGCTCAAATCTCCAGTTTGATTCAAAGCAAACAAAAAGAACACCAGTGGTCAAACGATGAGTGCCAAGCTTTCAATTCAAAGTGTCAAGCATTACAAGATTCGCAGGAATTTAATATCAAGCATCCGAGCTCATCTTCGGCTCTGGGCACAAACAAGTTCTACTTCAAAGCACCAAGTCGAACATTGGGCTGGCTGGCATGTGAATTGAATTCCATCAGAAACATCCACCACGAAAATGGCCATGGAGAATCAGAGGAATGTGTATTTGTTGGCGCGTTGCACGGGGGAGCAGCATCTGGTGGAGGTGATTCTGGCGGAGGTGATTCTGGTGCCTTGATCTACGATATCGATATTGACACTACGAATTCCGAGAGGCATGCTGCGGCCCTCATACCCATGGCTATGATTTGGGGTGGTAACCATCATGGATCGGTTGTTTCGGGCTTTGGTGATGTTACATATGCGACCCCCATCGGCGCAGTATTGAAGGATATAGAGTCTGAGATGGGATGGGATGAAGGAAGTCTTAAATTCTGCTAAGCAAAAGATGACTTTGGGGTTGAACCTTGCATTCTGATTGCGACTAGACACGGACAGAGGCTATAGGGTGAGATTTGTCATCGATTCAAGTTGGCATATCAGCTCATCTCCCTGGACATTAACACGTCAAGTCAATAGATCATTGAGCTCAATTCATTGTATCCACTTAACATAAAAATCAGTATAATAGTTAGCTCTTCAAGCATCCATAGTCGGGAAAAGCGAATTTTCCTCGGCAGATTGTAATGCTAATACATTAATAGAATTAGATTAATATTATTGGTTACTATATAGCTGGATGGCTATTGTCTTGATAAAGCTAATGATGTATTTGTTTTTGTGATTGTTCCTCTAAGGAAAAACAAGACTTTTTACCGTAGAGAACACATTCGATTTTGTTGATTTTAATGAGGAATACTACTGCCATTTCACAGGGATAATTCGCTTTCTCTGACTGGGAAAGAATCACTTGTTTAAAGAGATGATTGTTAGTTTCTAGATTCCTCGTTGAGATATGCTTCGCATGCCCGATCTCACTACCGACAACCAGAGGGAGGAAAGCAAAGGACAAATGATATATAATCCTAACCAAAGGGGGAAAATTGATGCAGCGGGAGGATTAGATGAAGCTCGTAGAGACGTATTCTAAAGTTGGATATAAAGATTAGACTAGAGATGATAGGGTCATATCAAGGTACGTTGACGGGGCAAGAGATCCAAAATAGAGATGTGATGGATGCTAATGATCGTGAGGGGGGGGGGACTGCATGATGGGGTGCTGTGATTAGGTAAGGATGTTGACTCTATCTTGATATTTTAGGTGTTAAAGGCTCAAAGATCTAGCGAAAATTAGATGTTTAGGGTATATTCTATGAAGTTTACGTGGGTTTGTGGAAGGAATTTGCATCGAATGAGCGGGGTGGATTTGATTGGAAATGTATGGGTGTACTGAAACCTGGAAAGATACCATTACGATGATTAGAGCAAGAATTGGAATGACCATGAAAATTGGCAGGAATCTTAAAGTGAATTCATCACAGAAAATATCTCACGCTGCGCTTCGTACTCGGCGGGAAAAGTACATTTGGTGGGGTGGTAAGCAGCGCAACCACATTTGCATTGATTGGCGAGTTTTTCTTGTACATGAAGAAGTATCAATGCAAATGCTTTGAGAACTTGATGATTATGGAAGAAGAAGAGGAAGTTGGTGCAATGAATCAATTGATGTGCTGAAAGCATGGTTGTGACCCCACTAGCTAATATCCCTATGTACAAGAATGACAAGAAAAGTGAAGAGATCAAATTCATCTTTGGCTGCAGACAAGGTTCCGCGATTTTAAAAGATGGGATTAAAAGAAAAGAAAACAGCAAGAAATTGGGTCAAATTCACAGAAGTGTGGCCTGGATCGCAGTCAAGACTCTGGCACTCGAGTTTCCAAGAGGATGTGGAGCTGACGTGCGTGCTTGGCAAAAGCCTGAATTTGAAGGAACCCCGATGAATGGCGCAAAGAACTCAACGTGCCTCGGTAACAAGCTCTTCATCGTAATAAAATAGATATGAGGGGAATTCTTGGCCACCGGGTAAGCCGAGACGTATTCTTTCATCTCGAGACTCGTGCAGAGTCCACATCTCGGTAGTTGGCGAATAGGTTTGCATTTCTGCAAATTCATTGTTCGATACTTGTACGCCATTCTCTGCGGTCGAAATTGTTTTCGCACATTGAATCTCCAATTGGGGAGGACTATACTGTTCGTTCGGATCTTCCTCAATGGTAAGTTGATTGTCGTAGTGCGACGCCATTGCGCAGTCGTGTGAGAAGTAACCCAAGTGACGACAAGTATATTGAGAACTAGGTTCATGCGCCTGAGCTTCCAATTCATGCAAGTCATTTTCTGACATATAGCCAGCATCATGGCTGGAGCCACCAAAGCTAGCTACATTGCTTGCGAAAGATTCTTCTTGTTGTGGTCGATGATCGGAGTGGGTGGACTGTGAGTGATAACTAGCGGGAGATGCTGTACAGGAATGGGGACATCCTTCTTCTTTTGGGCCAACAGAATTGCGAGATCGACTGAGATCAGTGTTGTGGTGGTATTGTTGATGAAGAGATCTACTCTCAGTGCTTATGAAAGTCAGTAAGATAGTCACAGATAGGTGATGTTATTTGTGGTACCACATACCTGGTGTCGGATTCTTTCCGAGCCTGCCTATGAGATGATGCGGAGCTTGACGACATGCTGTGAGAAGTATTATGTGAGGTTTTATGCTTGATGATAAAACTGATCACAAGAATGAAGAGGATGCGAGCCAGATAATCGGTAGTTTGAGAAAAAGGCGGATGATAGTGGCCTAAACAACAATCTTCGCAGATCTCAATTTCAATGATTGCGCAGAGGAAATAGAATGAAGAAAATCAGAAACTTTATACAAAACTTCTGACAAACCTTTCTCTTGGAAATCTAAGAAAAGATCAACAAAGCATTGTTCCAAATGGCAGGTAGAATATCTACAATGCAAGACGCAGGGGGAACGGCCCGACGGTATGGCTATGTAAGCTTCTTCTTCAATTGAGTGAAGGCATTCGAAAGTATGACCCCATTCTAAGCTAGTTAAATTCAAGTTCATCAACAATATGAGGCTATGAATTTAGATAACCAGACACCACACGAACAAGGGGGCGTGATTGGATATATGAAGAGCGCTCTGTTTGATATTTCCAGCAATGGCGGTATGGATTTGTATTTAGAAAAACATCCAGTATGCAGAGAAATGGGTAATTCCGCTAGGGGAATAATGAATTGGCAGATGTAAGTGCTGATTCCGTTGAAGACTTTCAATGGGTATCGGCTATGCACCTCGACTAAGCACCTCGGGGGAGCAGTAGAAAGTGGCATCGTCATGGTTCGAGCTTTACGAGACACAGTTTGCTCAACAGCTTTGAAATAAATTCTCCGCACGTTAACCATGCAAATCTGGCCAGATGTCGTGGAAGGCAGGTCATGAGCGGCCCGTTTCAGACCTGCTGTGCTCGCAGACAGCCATCATCGTAAATGTAGAGACGAGGCTCATATCACTGGCCCCTGCTTTCTTTGACCTTATTGGATGTCTGAAGAATATATCTTGGAGCTTCGAAAGATCTAGAGCGAGGGAATAAATGAAGCAGCAAGTAATTTGCAACTTGTGCAGTCGGACTTGGAAGGTGGTAAGAACCTGAAACGGTATGATTAATACAAGTGATTTTGTAGAAACCTTTGTCCTTAAAATAGTAATCTGCTTCAACAACCGATATGGTCAACTAGTTGATTAGTGCTGTATGTCTATTTTTTGATGTTTCAAATGTTTGGGGGACGTTGGGGGACAACGGGTGGGACACTAAGACGTTCATGTTCACTCTGCTTACGTAATGCAAATTTCCATTCATGAATTTCCAGGTTTAGAACCAACTTAGATTTGTCTACACCACAATCAACTTTACCGGCTCATTACTTTGTGAGACGAGAGATCATGACCTGAGCCTTCTCATGAACAAATCTTCCTATTCAAAATCTAGCATTGTTTCCAAGACGGGTAATCGCAGAAGAAACGAACAGTTCTCTGTTCACGACATGACCATCACTACGCATTTTCAAACACTCGCACCAACAGTTCATAAACTCTACAGATTAAATTGCACACTTTCGTCACCAGTCACCCAGCTATAGCCGTGCTGCGAAGCAAAAGCACTCACTTACATTAAGACCCATAATTGGATGCATTGAAGTCAAGAGCCCTTTCAATGCTCGTGGCTTGAGCATGGTTTACTTGAGCCTCGTGCAGGGCTTCTAGGTCTTACCGTACCGTTCGCCAATCCCGATTTTAAACATCTGATAAGTGACAGATATACACCGGGAAGCCAGCTGAGCAAATAAGGATTTGAATTTCTCGCCTACGTTATTCCAAGGATTTGGAGCTCACACTTTACAGGTATTGATCAGGCTCAAGCTTTTTCCGCAGTTTGGGGTTCGATTCGTTTGAAATGTTGCTCTTTTACCGCAACATGAGCCAAAACTTCACTGATTCTATTGCATGCCCATATATGCAACTGCGTCAGCACTAAGATCACATATCATGGCTCTCCCTGGACTCGGCTCTAGATTCACATTCAATATGTGCTACATCGGAGGAGAGCGAGATATTAACTACGCTCTTCCCCTTTCGCGTGATTTTCCATGAAGGACCATGGAGCGGGTAACTGTATTTGACAGATTTCCTCGTAAGGTTTCTAAAACAAAGCATGAAAGAATGCGGATACGTGCGTTTTGGGGCGCACATATTAATTGCGTTTCACATCTTTCCTGCAGTGTACATATAATCTCCAAAATTCGCATGACAGTATGCTTTTGTCTGGCGTACGAGATGATGCTCAAGGAAACATATCGTCGTCATGTTTCCACAGCATACAAGCCGGAACAGCTTCCGGATGAGTCTCCGCAAATAGGAATTCTATCTCACACGCCAATTTTTAATTTGCTCAGTGTTGAGCACAGAAATTGTTACCTTTGCAGCAAAACGAACATTGTTCCCTGGTAACTAGTTCTCTGAGCCATATCTTCTCTGATGAATCTTCTGTGACCGACCATTTCTCATACAGAACTTGTCCTAAGCGACAGACTCGATTGCACAACTCGTCAATTTTTACCCAGTGTCGCCAAATACTCTCTATTATACTTCATTCTATCCTTCTTTATTGTTTAATATCACAAATGACAGAAAACAGACATTCTCTTTGAAAAAATTGAGAACAAAGAAATGTCAGACTCAAAGCTCTATTCATTTCTTTGTTTTATCTCGCAAAGCTCTTGCAGTACAACATCCATCAATTAACTCACTACAGGCTGAATTTACGAGGTCTCTACCTCGAAACTAGTAGATTGATTGTGATAGATTTGCTAAGTCATATTTCTTATGCTGGATTGCCTCGAACATGATGTTTCAAGATGATTTATTAACAGCATGTCTTGATTTCTAAATACGAACTAATAGTATTACCATCGAACATATCATAATCTCAAGGCATACTAAAAGAGAAGTCCTTGAATTTGGAAAACAAAACCCAATCCTTCATACACTATTGAAACAGACACTGTGGATTTGGGCTACTTATTCAAACTCTCTACTCTCCCAAAGTATACTTACTATATACACTTATTTACAACTCAATCCCTGCCGTCTAATTTTTCTTACTCATTAGTTATCATTATCACATTTTCTATCCGGTTTCAAAAGAATCAATGTTCATTTTATATTTTTGTGCCATAATCTTGCAAAGTTTTTGTTTCTACACTGAAGAGTCTCCGGCCAGCGGATATTTCAAAGCAAATAAAGAAAAATCATGTCTCGTGAATAAATTGTAAAAGTCAGAAGATGGGACAAACTGTAAAGCAAGAAGTCGTAAAGCATATCTCGTTACCTCGTACCAGGTTTATTTGTCTTCCTTAACTTTTCCTTGTTTCGTGTCCAACCATTTTTCACCTACCTTTTATTCCTCTGCCCAAGACCTCTGTCAAGGGTTTGATCTTCTTTTCTCATCTTCTCAAGCACAGCTACCAGAGCAATCACCCAATCTGAAACTCGCCAACTCCGTTCCTTCGAAAACTCTCCCGGAGCATCTTCTTCTCTTCTTGTCTTCCTTCGCAAAGTCTGTCAACCTCAAATCCGGCACACTGCACCATTCCCATGTAGCCAAACTCGGACACCAATCTAGACTTGCGGACGCAGCTGAGCTAAGTGTAAAAGATGGAGAAATGGAGATGCGGGGAACGGTAGGACAAAAGAGAGTCTTATTGAGGGTGAATGTAGGGCTCGGTAGAATTGGGAATTCGGAGGTGCCTGGGAGTTCGGTTGGAGATTCGAGAATGATTGGGAGCTCAACCAGAATCGGAGAATCGCTTTTTGATGGAATTTCCTCGCAAACCTCAAGATCTGAATAATCCTCTGGTACAGGGAGCTCCAGGATTTGCGCTGCTGTCATCCAGCCTGTGCAATTATTAGAGGATAATGGCATCGGTGAGCTGTCGAGCGAAGGAGTCGTTGACGATGAGGATGAAGCGAGAAGTTTGACTACATTGAACTTTGCTTCATCCGAATTGCTCCAGCTTTCAGTCCATTCCGATGATCGTTGTAATATTGTTCGCTTTGAAAAATTGGCCTGGAGGGTTTCGGCTAATGCTGTGGATGCATCTGCGAGGTTGATTGCGAGTTCAACATTTTTTTCAAGCATGACGACCTTCTTGGACTCTTCAGCTGAGTGTTTGAGTGCAATCTGGAGTTCGTTTTCGAGAGACTCAACCTTTTTCGATTCTCTCTCGAACAACATCTTAAAGTGTTCTGCAAAGGCTTTTTGTTGGCTTGGAGCAGCACGGGCCGCGCGGAACTTTCGCACCTCTTCCTCAAGTTGTTCGTTCTTGTCTTTGAGTTGATGAATATCTTCTTCAAGTTGTCGGTCCATGTTTTCGACTTCTTGGACTGCGTTGCTGAGCTTGATATAGGCCTTGTGTGTTTTTTCCGCGTAGATTTTCCAAGCCTGCGTTTCGTTCAAGGTTGCTTGTGCTTCTCTGGTGAACATGGGGGGTGTTCTGACTGAACGGTGTGGTTTGATTAAAGGATCGACTTTCCTACCTTCTACAGTGGTTGCTGTCAATTTAGGAAGCTTAATAGTGAGACATGGGGGCAAGCTATTTTGAAGACACAATGAGGATTGTGAATTTGGACTTGGCGATTCGAGCTCACTTACGTTGACCGGATTCGAGCTGAGTGGAAGGCATGGCATTCTAGGAGCTACTGGTAACTCATGATATCTAAACATCTGCACCGGTTGGCCATCAACAATTTTTGCGACGTTGAAAGGTTCAGCCGCTATTATTTGCCTAATCTTAGTCGAACTACGTCCCCGGAAAGCCATTATAGTGGTCCTAATTGGAGTGGGGATTCTCCGCATGATTTTCCTCTTCATGACAACTATACGCCTTGTATGTTGACGATGAAGCCCAAAGTATTTCTGGAGACGATTTTTGGTTGGCGACATTGACCCGGTGTCCGACTTCTCCAAGATCAAGATCTATTGAGGCGCGTAGAGAATCTGATATGGGATATTGACATTCCGGTGCCGAGCTACTTGTCGCCTGCGACACATATTGTGGCACGGAAGTATTGATTCTGAGACTCTCTATTCCTGATATGCGTCTGACCATTCTTGGACAAAACGATTCATCCATGATATTAGTTTCGCCTACCTATTGTCTTGATTTTTCGAGAGGTGGATGATCAAGATTCTTTAAGATTTTGTAGTGTTCACTTACTATCAGGATGGGTTATTTGAAATGGCTGTTGAGAGATGCAGATTGAGAGAGATTATGGAGAATTTGCGAGCAATTCCAAGAATGCATTATGTATAACCGTGAACTTTGACTGTTCAACCTCTGTTCCCAAAAGTACGATTATAGATATTTTGTATTTCATTGTCAAACAAAGATATTGAGGGAACAATGTAAACAAAGGTACTACCAAGTGTCTCAAATTCCAACAAAGAAAAATCCAGTGGATAATTTTGCGCTGGGAATTGAGAAAGAAAGCTCATGTAATAAAATATAGCTCTGTATTATTTCTAACTCGCAGCTAGATTGTAGACTTGATAGTATAGTCGCATCAGAAATCATTGAATCTAGTTTGATCAGCAAAGACATGATTGATTTGAATAGCAATATCAGTAACCACATCAATAGTAGTTACTCCCACCACGAGAAATTGAGGGGGTTCCAAGCCCTGAGTCACGACTAAAAGGAAGGTTTGAGCCAGATCTCTGCGCTACTGTAGGAAAGTTAGCATAACCTGTAAAAGTTGTTCGGAACAGATAAATATACCTGATCGACCACTTGGTCTAGAAAAGCCTGATGCTAAAGATGCTCCTGGATTTCCGACTTTTAGACCTGCTCGCATACCATAGCCTACAAAACCGGACGGTTGACCAGAATTAACATTAATACTTGACAGTGGAGTTCGACGAGGGGTAGCTCGTCCATGGGGTAAAGGTAAAGGTGTTCCAGCCATATGGCTTTGTATATTGTTTATGCCGATGCTTGTAGGAGGAAAATTGCTGGATGCTAAAGGCTGCCGATGAGAAGAAGGAGTCGCCGGAACATGGTTATCTGTAATATTCTTCGTAAGTAATTCAGGGTTGAATTTGAGTAACGACAAGATGCTTTCTTACATTTCTGAGACACACGACTTTGCCCTTGGCTACCAATAGTATCTAACTCGCTACTATGTCGTCTTCTTTGAGGTGGGGGCGGCATGGTTGAGTCGTGAAAACCGTCAGTACGATTCAGTCCACCGGTCTGGTGATTTGCGTAAAGAGGTGGTCTGTGTTCATTTGTGCCTGGATTGTCCGTAAAGCGATTGTCCGTGAAGCGATTGCCATTTGACGTTGCTTGTAGTGTATCATCAACTGCATTCGAAGCGGCAGTCTGAACTTGATCCAACATTCCTCTACGCTTTATTTTATCGTAAAGTTCTTGAGTCTGAAGTAACTTCTTATTTCTCTCTCTGAGATCATGATGGAGCTCCTCATTCTTTCTTCTCAAAGCATCATTGTCCGAATTTATCCCTACATGAGTGTTTAGTATTCAGTTAGGAATGAAGAAAACCATGTAGAATCCCACCCTGCACTTTATTGCGAAGGTTCGATATCTCGCTGTTTGCATCATGTATTATCTTGTCCATCTGAAAATTCAGCGTTGAATACTTGTCTGTCAAACTTTTGGCAAGGTATTCTTGATAAACACTTCAAGTTCGTCAGTAAAGCTTGTAACATTAGACTTCAGGTACAAACATCTCTTGAGTTGTTTGATATGCCCAAAAACTTAAGGCTCGGCCTGCACACTCCATTATGACACTTGGATTGAGTCCACTCAACACGCTCGTCTTATAGTCTTCACTCGGGGTTAAATTTGTAACAACAACATCGTCGGGATTTGGTAAGTGCATATCGCATGCGGGACATGTTGTCCGTCGATTCTCCCGTGGGCTTGTTGAAAGCTGGGATTGATTTGCACACTCGATGCAAAAAACATGACTATAAAGAATAAGTAATGAAAATTTAGGATGAAATTGTGAATATGAAATGTGAGACCGGAAACCAATGGAAGACGAACCTACAGGTAGTGACCACTGCATGATCTTTCAACTCTTTCCTGCATTTCAATGCATTACAGCGAAGAATAAACTCCATTTCTTTTGTGCATACACAGTCACCGAACGAGGCTCCTTGTCAGAGCTATTCTTCTTCGTCACCTACATTAAATGCTCATAGTCATCTTGATAATTGTAGTTTTTAATCTCCAGTCAAAAGCAGCAGTTGATGAGATAGATTGTCTTGTTCCAATACAGACAAGTCTTGGTCGATAGAATTGATGAACGTGATATTTTGAGTTCGAAGAAAACGGGCCGAGCCGAACGGAGAATACATTAAGTGAAATCTTATTCTTGGGCGGTCAAAAGTGGCACAAAAGTTTACCCCACAATTTCTGTAAGCTGCCAGTGACAAGTGATACACAGCAAAGGCTCAAAAATAGGTTTCGTGTTCCGATATCAAATGCGATGGAGCTGTATACTTATATTCTCTGGTCATACCGGATGTTTATACTCGCAATTACTCAGGAGGATATACTCCATCAAAAGTTGATAGCATGCCAAGTCTCTCACCAATGCCCTGGTGCATGCAGCATGAGCATGGGATCATTTTGGTGCATCTTCATCCGGGGTACGTCCGGTATGCATGGGAATAGTTTCTCCGTGAAACCCTTGTATAGGCCATCAAAAGTGACATGTAGGATGGAGGAATGGTGGGATGGTCGCATATCTTATGACAAGTTCGAATTCTTCCATTGGAAGAGTACCAATCAAGTATTGGGATTCATTTTCGAGGTACAACCTCTGGGTGTTTGGTCGGCAAGTCAATATACATTTAGCAAAAAGGGAATACTTCAATGACCTCAACTGACTGCGCGGATGATTTGATCCTAGTAGTGGATAATCTTACTGTATGATTCTACACCTGGTACTTGTATTGAAATCATTGCCTCCCATTTTTACAAACTCATGATTGGCAAATCATTTATCTCAATGGAAATTATAGTGCAGGTGCCAAGGTTTTCCAAATAGCATAAGTTCACCAAATCTGTCAATCATGTTTCCCATTTTGATTGAAAGAAATTTGTCGCTGTTTTGGAATCCAGACTAGTTTCAATAGTACTACAAGATGCGGTTGCAAAAGTTTCGTTCTTTGCTGGCCGTTCTGTCCACAAGTATCCTTCTTCCACCATCTGTGTTAGGAATCAATACTACTTCCCCTACTGTAACTGTCACCAATGGTTCATATATTGGGAAATACGTCCCTGAATGGCAGCAAGACCAATTTCTGGGGATACCTTATGCTATTCCACCCTTGGGAGATCTCAGATTTGCTAGACCAAAGTCCTTGAACACTTCGTTCACTGGATATCGAGATGCAACACATTATGGTTATAGTTGTTACCAATATGGCACAACGTTCAATCTTTCTGAGGACTGCCTCACTCTCAATGGTATAGTCATCAGTCAAGAACACGCTGGGTAATTGCTAAATACTGCGCAATCTAGTTATAAGGCCAGCGGGGACTACACCTGACAGCAACTTGCCTGTCTTGATTTGGATATTCGGCGGTGGATTCTATACTGGAGCGACAGCAGATCCCCAGTCAGTATTCTGAGGGTATTTTAGATGTTAACTACATTTCTAATAACTCCCAGGTACAATCTTTCTGGCATCACACATGTCGGGCAACAAACTGGGCAATCTATTATTACAGGTAATATTTACACGCATTTTTGTTCAAAACATCTCTAACTTTGGTAGTGTCCATGGACTATCGTCTTGGAGTGTGGGGCTTTCTCCAAACACCTCAAGTCCTTGCTGAAGGTGGCTCGAATGCTGGACTACTTGATCAAAGACTAGCATTGAGATGGATAAAGGAGAATATTGCATCTTTCGGCGGAGATCCGAGAAGAATTACGGTCTGGGGAGAATCCGCTGGCGGTCAAAGCATTAGTTATCATCTGTATTCTTACGACGGCAGAGATGATGATTTGTTCCAAGCAGCAATAATCGAATCTGGAAGCCCCACTGGGGCTAGTTTGTATGCAATCATTTGTTTTTCAAAATCCCAGCCCTCCTGCTTTAGCTCACGTTCTAACCCGTTATAGGAACCCCCTCGGTTACTATACGGTACCAACCGAGAATCTAACTCGAGCCACCGGTTGTTGGACATCTACCAACAAACTCGCTTGTCTACGAAGTCTGACTTCAGATCAGCTATGGAAAGCACAAGTCAGCCAACAATGGAATCCCATGGCAAGTCACACCTTTTCTTCACTTAAGCATTTGCAGTCTCAAAGTCAACTTCGATACTCACACAATCAAATATTTTCAAACAACACTAACTTTACTTCAGGTCGATGGTGATTTTTTAACTGACTACCCCAGTAGCCTCACACCCCAAGGAAAATTCATCAAGATTCCTCTTCTAATTGGAGCTAATAGCGATGAAGGAACTAGTTTTGGTGTTGCCGGGCTAGATAATGAGACAGCCATTTTCAACAATTTACTAGTATACCGGGCTTCAAATGCTTATGCACTATCACCGCCAACTGCTAGAAAGTTGCTTGAGCTTTATCCTGTATGTTATTTGAAGTGGTCGATCAAGTACACAATAGCAAAACTGACAGTGACAGAATGATCCTGCAAATGAACCTCCACATTACATTACCAATGCGACAATCTTCCCGTCCAAGGGACTACAGTGAGTTAGCCTGAGATGTGAATACTCTTGCCCACTCCGTACTAATGCCAGAACTAGATGGAGACGTAGTGCCGCTATCGCAGGAGATCTGGTTATGATATCCGGTCGTCGAAAGGTAAACATACGCTTTTGTCAATCCTATTTTCTCGGTAGTACCAGCTTCTAACTCAAGGCTTCTTATCTAGCTGTGCGAAATCTACGCCGCTGCCTCTCAATCAGTATATAGCTATCGCTGTAAGTCTCATCCCCGAAACCTGCATCCCCCCCCACGTTATATTCTTGCAAAACTAACCTTCTTCCCACCCACCAGTCGATACATTTCTCTGGAATGCTGCGGTAACCGATGGAGCAAAGCATTGTAAGTCTCGCCACCGTTTCCCCTGTTCTTCTATTACAATCACACAGCTAATATCCCCAAGTCGTAAATGTCGTCTTTTCCTTTCAAAACATTTCGGGCGCTCTCGGTCCCCTCCCGCAATACCAATCTTATCTCGATTTGTCAAAAAATATCGGTAAAGCTTATATCTCTTTTGTGAATTATCATGATCCAAATCTTTTGTCCAACAGCTCGTTATCCACTATCTCAAATGGTACGAGTATCAACCCAAACCTTCCATATTGGCCACTTTATAATAAAGATGCGCCGAAAAATATGGTGTTGAACAGCAACAAGACATTTATAGAAGATGATACATGGAGGAAGGAGGGGATCGACTTTATTAACTGGGGTGGTGTCGATAGAGAGTTGTGGTCTTGAGGCCGTGTGAGGAAGAAAGCAAAGTGGATTAATAAGAGGATAAAGCATTCAAGTGAAGATACGAATAAAATGAAAGATACGATTTGAAATTAGTATTTCAAGACCTGCGTGAATCAAAATATCATGGGAGTGTACAATAACGAAATACGAACAAAGCGAATTATTCACAAACTTCAGAGAGGGTATATCTTTATCTTGATGATAAGTCGACTACCCTGTTTTGGACCACCACTTACCATCAAAATCTCGAGAAATGGTGTTTATAACTTACTTCTCTATTGATATAATGTAATTGAATTATGTATATGAAGTCACAATGTAAATTTAAACTTATTCTAGAAGTTTTTCATTATTAATGTTTTTGGACAATTGTCGTAAGCGCCTTCTTATTTGAAGGCGAGTCTAGGATCGCCGTTACAAATATTATGACAGTCACGATAATTCTCTCACTTCTCATTGCATGACACGTTCATTTCTATGTTTTGTGAATCTTATATGTATTGAAAATCATCTCTGAATCTCTAGAGCTGTTTAATGTGTTCTTTTTTTATTTATTTAATGCTCTATGGACGAAAATCCTGGCTCTCATTTATACCAAGACTCGACATGCTCGTATCTTCAATATTTTTATTCTGCTTCAATGCCCAAGTGAGGCTTACTCAAATGCATTTGCCGGAAAAGGACTTTCCTGCAGATATATCTCGAATTACGGCTACAGATGACACTACTTGGGCGGGAAATGCTGACGCCGATGGCTCCGATGATAATATATCATCTCATAATGAGGAAGTTGTGAACAGAATGCCTGGGATTGTGCATGATGACCAACAGTTGGAATTGACAAGTGACATGTAACCTCATTTGACTGTCAGCTTCATGATTGGTCGACTGATGCATGCTCCATTAACAATTTACGATATAAGTAAAGCAACAACTCACGATACGAGCCTGACGTCAACTAAGTCAATATCAAACCATGACAGACACATCGGATTATCATTATATTATAATCGGTGGTGGAATCGCTGGCACGGTGTTAGCATCTCGCCTTCATGCAAGCCATCCTCAGTTGTCTATCCTACTCATAGAAGCAGGACCAGACGCCTCCAACAATCCCTTGGTGACTGACTCAGCGAATGGGCCTTTTCTCGTAGGATCAGAGTTAGATTGGGGATATTCCACAGTTCCTCAACGTCATTTGAATAACAGAGTCTTGCCCAATAGCGCTGGGAAAGTTCTAGGAGGAGGATCAGCTATCAATGCAGGTCAGTCCACATTCTTAACGCATGATGAATAAGCACATTCAGATTCTAAATTTCAATCAAGGCGGATGGATACGTGGTGATGCAAATGACTACAACGCATGGGGAAAGCTAGTCGATGATCCCGATGGAGCTATGAAGGGCTCCTTCCGTACTTTCGTCGGACAGAGAATTATCACAAACCGGGACTGGAAACCCAGCACGGCTACGAAGGACCTATTTATACGCAATCAGTATCGTCTACTGGTCGGGAATATCCCTTGCGTGAAAAGATTCGAAAAGCATGGGAATCTCTCGGTATAAACTATAACGAAGATGCCAACTCTGGGTCACCACAGGGACTAGGCGAGCTTGTTGAAAATCGCAAGGATGGGCAAAGACAGATTGCTAACACTGTATTTTCCCTTACCGGCATTCAAGTCATGACATCTACCCTAGTAACACGTATAATCTTTGACAACCTAGAAACACCACCTAAGGCGGCGGCCGTTGAACTTTCAGACGGCCGCAAGATTTCTGCCACAAATGAAATAATTATCTCTGCAGGTGCATACCGCACTCCACAGATTCTGCTACTATCTGGGATTGGGCTATTCGAAGAATTAACCAAGCATGGTATTCAGCCGCTTGTCGATTCGCCTCACGTCGGACAGAATCTGCATGATCACATGTCAGTATCTCAATGGTGGAAATTGAAAAATCCAGAAGCAGGATATGCTCTAGGATCCCCCTTATTCAACAACCCCAGTTTTGCCAAAGGAACACCCCTTGATTGGCTCGTCACACTTCCAGTTCCTCATGATGGACTTAAGGCCGCTTTGGCTACGGATGAAGGAACGGTAGATGACCTCCATCCACTTTTAACGCCAGCTCGCTCTCATATAGAATGCTTTACTGTATATGTTGGGACAAACAGATCTGATCCCGTGATACCTATGAATGGAAGTCATATCACCACAGTCGTGTTTGGCGGTCTTCCAACTTCGCGAGGAAGCGTTACATTGGCATCTACTGACCCAAATGCGGCACCGGTCATTGATCCTAACTACTTTTCAACAGAAGCTGATCGATATGTATTACGCACAGGAATGAGGAAGATAATGGAAGCTATGTTAAGCACTACGGAGGGAAAAGCTATAATAGAAACAGAAACCGTAGCAGCTGGAGAGAAGCCTTTGGACTGGAAGGCCCAGGATGCGGAAATTGATAAACGCATCAAAGCACGCGGAAAGTATGTGTTACCCTCCTCTATTCAAACCAAATCCATACTGATATCTTTCAAAGGACGGTATATCATGCTGCCGGAACTGCTGCAATGGGTAAAGTCGTCGACAGCAGTTTGTGTGTATATGGAGTGCAAGGACTACGCGTCGTTGATGCTAGTGTGATTCCATTGCCAATCGCGGCTCATTATCAAGCTTGTATTTATGCTCTTGCTGAGCAGGCAGCTGAGATTATTGGGAACAGCTCTTTACTTGCTTCGGAGTAGATGATCTCTCGGTTATTTGGTGGGGTAAAGAATCGGAAATTTAATATATGTCTCGCCATTTTTGGTTACAATATTCGCTGATGGGTAAAATTGAAAAGTAGCGCTATTTCGAGGCTTGAGGCATTGCGTTAAAAAGTATCGCAGTCTAAGTTACCTATCATGTGAACTATCAAGTCGTTTCGTTTTGAATGGTCATTGAATGCTAGAATTACTGTGATAATGTGATTGTATTGGTTTGCTAAAATCTTCACCTCATGAGATGAACTAGCCCAAGCAAATAGTTCCATAAATTCGTTATATTTTGCGGGATATAAAGCAGGCAGTTAACTCGCTCATCTAAAGCGGTTCTTTTCACTATTGGATTGTCAATATCGACGCTGACATCTGCCAAGAAACACAAAGAAAGCTACAACGCCTCAACATTGGACAGTGATCAGCTCTTGATATACAAGCAACATATAAAGTTCGTGTAATGCTTTCCGGAAACGTCTGCATTTACTATCGAAGTCAGTAACTAGACTACCGTTTTCCAGTACCTGCTACTGTAATCTCACCATGCTCTGCACCTCCTGCCAAAACATCTCATTCGTTCCCTTGCAGCAGACTGGCATTACTTTCCAAGAAGATGCGACTGAAGAAATACGAGCCGCGTACTCTATCCATCGATTCTTCTTCCGTCGTTTGTTAGGATGGGACAACTTTCGACCCGACTGCCAGCTTTGCAAATTAATGACTACTCGACTCCGTTGCAGTGTGAATAGATCCTCGAGTAACAAACTATCTGCAGCTCTAGATCTAACGGTCTTGGATGTAAAAGATTACTTGTTGTGGAACTCACTCGGTCGGTGGACGCGAGTGATATTATCACAGAAAGGAGAAATTTCCAAATCGAGTGATGGTCGTAATTTCGTGAAAATTAACGATGGAAGCAATTGGTCTGGGTCATTCAATGTTCACTTTGGTGATTTATCGGTGGTGATGGACTTAAATAAACTTTTCGGTTCGTGATATCTTGCTTCCAACAGTGTTCTTTGGCTGATTTCCATATATATCGACGAGAATCCCAGTATTGCGCCGCGTCTCGTAGAACCAAAAGGACAGACCGTCGCCTATGCTGCTTTGAGTTATTGTTGGGGCAAAAATGGTCAATTACGATTGAAGAAAGTGAACCATGTTCAGTTTTTGAACGCTCTTCCTGTTCAAATGCTTTCCAAGACTACTCAAGACGCCATTAGAGTTACTCGAGCACTGTCGATCAAATATCTTTGGGTAGATGCTTTGTGCATTATCCAAGATTCAGCCGAAGACAAGTCGAGAGGGCTTGCTGTAATGGGTGACTTTTACTCTCGGTCCGTCATTGCGATTGGTGCTGCCAATGGTGACCATGCAGACGCTGGACTTTTTGCGAAGCGCGCCCCACATCAGCAACGACCCTGTCCTATCTATGAAATAGAAGACAATTGTACTAGAACTCAGATATTCGCTGAACTCCCTCGAGACGATGAACAGGGAACAATACTGGACAGTCGTGGGTGGATTTTCCAGGAAGAAGTGCTTTCAGCTCGAACTCTCAAGTTTTGTTCTGATGGTCTTCGTTGGTCTTGTGTTACTTTATCTGCCACAGAAGCTACACCAAATGGCAATTCGCATCCATCCAATAGACTGAATTATAGGCTTAAAACTTGGGTTCATTGTCCAGAATGGAAGCCACAGTGAATTAATACCTTGGATCCGAAACGACGATATTCTCAAGACTGGTATGAAGCTGTAGCGAGCTTCACTGTTCGGAATTTGACATATCACGCAGACAAGCTACCTGCACTTACTGGTATTGCAACTCAAATCCATAATATTCATAAGTATGACCATCTTGCTGGTCTGTGGAAGCAAGACCTAGAGTATGGCTTGCTATGGTATGTTGCTTCTCAGCCCAATATGAGTAGTGGAAAGTATGAATTCCCATCTTCGTTGGGCCAAGAATACTATACTTTTGTTCCGAAGAAAGGTAGAAGCATACCAAAAAGCCGCCTCATCTGTAGCAGAAGGAATGAATCAGCTATCAATCGGTAACGTTGCCACGCACACGCCATTCTTGAGGAATGTGTCCATTAGCTCATCAGGAACAGCCCAGCACCTGAAAGCGGCACTTCCTAATCTCCGAAAGGGAGACGAAGTCAAAGCCAAGTCGCCATCATAGTCATGGACTTCTCTGGAGCATGAGAAGATAAACTTTCTGTACAGTCACTCGGGATTGAAACCGTCCGGAGGCCCGCTAAGCCACTGTCTCGAAGTTGACTGTCCGCATCCAGACGAAGGGAATGTATTTACACAAACATTGCCCGGTCATATGATTCTGACAGGTCACTTGAAGCGAGCTCAAGTACACTTTGACAATTACGGCTACGATACCAGTATCTGGTACCAAACGTGTCTGCGGGTCACTGGCCGGGAACTCTCGTGCAATTGAAGACCATCGCTTCTGGTGAAGGCGAAATAATTGGATTCATCGCGTTAGACTCAGACACAGTAGCTAGCGGCCTAAGGGTAAACAGTTTGGCTATTTTATTGATGCGAGAAGACGACAAAGATTCGTCGAATATGAGCATGGCAAGGAACGGAAAATTGGGTTACTATAGTTCAAACAAGGTTCCATTGACGCTCGCTCGTCTGCCTGATGGCAATGATTCATTCAATCGTTGAACTAAACGATACCTGACGAGTTTGGCGCTTCAGCAAGTGTTGGATGTCAACAACTTAACCATTTTCCGGAGAGTTGGATTGTGTCAATTGTACAGAGAATTTTGGACGGATGAGCTGAAATATTCGAGCAAGCAAAAAATGAATCTTATGGTTGTTTAGGTGTCGATTTGACCTACCCATGTTACTACTGTTGTCTGGTATCAAATCTTGTCAAAATTACATTTGAACAAGCTTCAAAGTATTGGGCATACGAAGAGAAGCTAGAGCGGAGGGAGAAGCTCACCACATGAGAAACTTTGAACTGCATTCTGATTCTTGTATTGGCCCAATCATCTGCGAATGCCAGTTGCAGACTTTAGAAAGACTACATTTTGACAAGCAGTAAACAATTGTCTTTCTCCTTGACAGGAAATTGAGTCTCATTTGACGAAGGGAACCAAAACAAGAATCCCATGATCGCCTGATATCTCTTAAAGTGCGAATGTGAAAGCAAAATTTCAATTAATCAAGGGAATAGCTCGCTAACCACCTATATCAGTGTTATTTATCATCCTAAAGCTCTCCGCTCCACTTCTCCTTATAGATTTAACAAGAAATCAAGGTCTCGACTTCACCCCGTGTTCTGTAGCAGTGCGGACCTCAACATTTCCATCCTCCATACCGAAATATGCAGCCACTGGCTTCTGTCCACCACCCTCTTCTCCAGCATTGGCAACCTGGGCGCCATTTCTACCATGGAAAAGACCAGTCTCGAGTACACCCACTATTCTCTTTAATCTTCTTCCAAGGGTGTGTACCTCCCAAGTGCCGTTTTCTCCATCCCCCTTATCATTGCCCTTCAAATCTGAATGAATCAGAAGTCTTGGGAAAGGCGCGTCGATGATCCACATGCCGTTATCTGTAACTACTGGCCCAGCTTTTGCACTTCCGCCTTGTCTGATTTTTGGGTCCGGAGAGCCGAGCGTAATTAGAATTCTTTTAATGGTTGGAGCGGCTAATGGTGCAATCTCGATTGGAATAGCTTTCCAAGAAGTGAGGAGACGAGGTTGGAGCTTTCGGTAATCTACGCATTGTTAATTTGAGTCAAAGTCGCAAACATATTACCCAAATGCTTCACTGACCTGCTACACATACGAACTTCTTGGAAGAAGTTGCAACCAACTTTTCTTGGAAAAGACAAGCTCCACCTCCTTTTATACAGTTGAGATCTTCGTCAATTTCGTCTGCTCCATCAAATGCAACATCAAGACTTTCACGCTTTCCCTTCAAACCTAGATCTTGTAGACCCGTAGAAACATCGAAAGCAGCATCTCCACTCAGATGAAGAGGTTCAACAACTACTGGAGGCAAAGAATCGATGCTTCCTAAAGGCAGACCTGCTTCAATAATCAATTGTTTACTTTGATCGCCAGTGGGAACAAAGATCATCTTTGAAGTGATATCTCGACCTTTAGCAGCGATAGCTTCCACTACGTAAACCACAGTACTACCCGATCCAATTCCGACGTATTTGTAAGAAGGGTCGAAGTGATCTTCAACTGCTTTGTATGCAGCTCGACGTTTCGAGGCCTCTACAGGGGAAAGGTTTGCGTAATCATAAGTGTGAGGAGTAGCATTTTCGGCGGCTGGAACTGTCGGATTTGAGGAGGCCGCGGATTGACCGGGAACAGCTGGATTGTTGGAAGCCATTGGGTTCGTATAATGCTGCTTAGATATGCTCGAAAAACTGCTTCTAGATATATTCAAAAATTGTGGAAATATGCGATATATACTGCGGGAATGAGCCGTAGTGGGACAAACACCTGCGAATGAACGATTTGTGGAGATTGTAGAGTTCTTGAGTCCAGCTGAACGTACACTCGAACGTACAATCGAATGAGACAATGTATGAGAGCGAAAGAGTCGGAAAGCAAGATTGTGAGAATTTATTTCCATCAATACTCGGGTTAGGAAATGTAAGATCTTATTTTGGAATTCAAAGAGAGTGATGAAATAGTAATAATTTTATTACGTGCCCAAATTGGTGGGGTCAGCTTAGCCAAGTGGGATGGCCCGACTAGATTTTTGGATAAATTCATGCGACATTGCTGAATAAGATGACGCTCCGATCCGAATGGAAGAGTGTTCGGAGTGAAAGCTCGGTGAATACAGCCTTGAGGAGTTTCACCGGAGTGAGCGGACGCTAAGATAAGAGCTCGACTATCTGCTTGCACGTGCCGATAAGAGCAACAATTCTTAGATAAGCAAGGCTTCTGCTACAGTCCAGTGTTGGTTGATTAGATTTATTACTGTATCATATCTACCATACACACTCATACATTTTCAGGATATTTAGGGAAGCTCTTGACTGTTACCCTTGCAGATCCGATACTATACACTCTCTATCTTTCCAATCTGTGGCCGTAAACAATGACGGAGATAATCATGGACCAGAACCCTCCTATTCTTCAGGGCCCTTCCGACAAGGAGAAGAAATATGATCGACAACTACGATTATGGGCAGCTTCTGGACAGGCAGCCCTTGAGAATGCCAATTTGTTACTATTAAATTCTGGTTCTGGCACAGTTGGTGTTGAGACTTTAAAGAATTTAGTTCTTCCAGGTATGTGACAAGCCGATGGAAATATGCAGTCAGCTAACGGCAATAGGCATTGGAAAATTTACAATTGCGGACGAACAACTCGTTAATGAGGCTGATTTGGGCGTCAATTTCTTCCTTGATGAAGAGAGTTTGGGAAAATCAAGGGCAGAACAATGTGTGAAACTTCTACAAGAGCTCAATCCAGATGTGAAGGGAGACTGGTTTCCAAAACTCAAGGTAAACCTGCGAGTCTACTTGTTTACCATGAAATATGCTGACAGAATATATGCAGAACGATAAACTAGACCAATTGTTTACGGAAAACCATGAAGAAAGATATACATTAATAATATATTCATTTCCAATCGACCCTAGAATCCTCGCACTTGCAGAGAAATACAGCGCATCGCACAAAGTGCCTCTCGTCAGCATACACTCTGCAGGCTTTTATTCATATTTTAAAACACATCTACCAGGAAACTTCCCTATTGTTGATACTCACCCAGATTCAACCGCAACAACAGATTTACGACTTTTAAAGCCATGGCCAGAACTTTCGAATTTCGCAGCAGATCTGACTAAAGACATCGACACTCTTAGTGATCATGAGCATGGCCACATACCTTACTTAGTCCTGCTCTTGCATTTCCTGGCAAAATGGAAAGAAGAAAATGGCTCATATCCGAGCTCCTATAAAGACAAAACAGCGTTCAGGACGACTGTTACAAATGGCACAAGAAGAAATAATGCCGAGGGTGGAGAGGAGAACTTCGATGAAGCTGTTGCAGCTGTTATGAAGAACATATCCGTACAAGATCTGAGAAGTTCCGTGAAGGAAGTCTTCGAATACCCACCAACCGAGGTATGATGAAGATGACCCAATCGAGCGAGTGTAATGCTAACTAGCTTGACTCTAGGCAGAATCCAATTCTGATTTTTGGATCATCGCTGATGCTGTGAAAAAATTTCATGAGAAGCATAATGAGCTTCCACTTCCGGGATCAGTTCCGGACATGAAGGCTCAATCTAGTACATACGTACGACTTCAGAACATTTATAAAGCAAAAGCTCGACAAGACATTCAGGAAATACTAGAGACTATCCGGGCACATGCACGCGGTAATGAGATTAAAGCAGAAGAAGTAGAGGTGTTCTGCAAGAATGCTGCTTTCATCAAGCTTATCCGAGGCTCGGATCCGACAACAGATCTACAAAAAATAGCAAGTATGATAACCGTGTATACTTCCTGCTCAAGAGCTCGCGAATTAACGTGTTGATAGATTCGGAATCTGAAAATGATGCAAACGCTCCTCTCACGATGATGCCATTATCAAACTTCCCTATTTACTTGGCTCTTCACGCAACTGCTCATGTACCAGCAGCTACTTCATCTGAGATCTTAGCCCAAATCGACAAAGAAGTGCCGAATGTATCCTCTAATCCACGTGTCAAGAAAGTTGCTGAAGAAGTATCACGAGCCAAAGGAGGTGAATTACACAACATTTCTTCGTTGACTGGGGGTATGGTTGCACAAGAAATCATCAAAATTATCACTAAACAGTATGTACCGATCGACAACACATGCATATTTGATGGTATCACGAGTAGGGCACAAGTTTTGAGGATCTAATCGGATAAAGTCTGCCTAATCTGAGGCTAGCGAATAGGGGTGTTTCGCGAAAGGTTATGAGAGCATATGATCCGGTAATGGGAATGACATGCATATGGAGATGTGGAGGAATAGATAAGATTAACGAAGATTTGCGAGTGTCATCCGGCCATGGCTAAGCAATCATGATACCACGATCAGTTAAATACCAAATCAATATACACTATAACGTTTTCGAGATTTTCAAAGAGTGGCGTTTCAAAGGCGTGATAATCATACATCTAAATCACGCGGATCAAAATGAAGCCAAAGATTTAATATCTTACGAGTCGCACCACATTCATGCATGCAGAAGATCATGAGATAAGCATGGAGTGCATTTTTGTTACTATACAAGGCGGTTCTTTTTGGTGATACATCTGCCGTGCAGTTCTAACACAGTTAGTACGACATTTCCGCATTCGCTTGCTGGCTTGCTTACTGGACTTGATGGTCTACTTACATACGTAGTCTTAGTAAAAACGTTTTACACGACAGAAGATTTCAGAACACCACTTCGCTATTGCTGGAGGGGAATGTAGGATAATATGTGGGATTGTCCTGAATTCTCCGTAGATGTGGGGTTCGGATGCAACAGGGAGGGAAAATTTGGTAGCGAGGATAGGTCGATAGTGTTTTGTGTGAGGGTGTGGATGGGGATGTGAGTGTGGGTGTGGGCTGGACCATTGGATGAGGTGGGGGATTTTCATTGGGGTTGTGCAGATGAGTTGTGAGGGAGGCTTGGTTTTGGGATCGACGGGATGGGATGGGCTGGGCTGGGATTGTTTCGTGGGTATGGATGCGGGGAAGCCAGGAGAGTCCTAGGTAAGAGGAGTTAAAACCACTTGGAAAGAAGGAGAGGAGAGAAAGAAACAGTGTAAGGAGTTTCGGCCCGAGATTCCGTATGATATTCATCTTTTACTTAGTGAGTAATAGAGGCGAATCTTGAATGTAAATTAGGACGTTTTATCAAAAATATTAGGTAGATTTCCCCGCACTCGCAATGTCGAAATTGTAGCAGTTCTTCAAGAAATAAATACATATCAACGCACCTGATCTTGAGCACAAAATCTCTCTTCATATTAATTGTGATGTGGCTTATAATCTTCGAATGCTGATTCTAGATGTTGACAACAGCTCGCTAATAATAAATAAGGTTACCCCTCACGCTCAGAGTATCTTGATTCTTGGGAGCTGAATGAAGGACTGGCGATTTTACTATTTGGGAACGGTGAGCATGAAATTAGCCGTGGGTTTAGATATTACTGCATCCCTTTCTCGATTTAGATGAACCCCGAGTTTAGCGGGGTGTGATGCATGGAAGCGAAAGTAACTGTGGCTTCTAGGTATGTAGAGGTTTACTTTGGATAGATATGTAGGTGCTAGGTATAGAGATTTGCATGCCGAGGTACATTCAATACTAGCTTTTGAGATCAAGAATGGGTTCGAAAAGGTACGAGGTTTGTCATCTCTTGTAGTTGAATTTTGCATATCCATGTGTGCTTGAAAATCGTATCGTCAAATCATATATTGCTATAGTGGTATCATATCATATCGTATCATATCTTTTACAAAAGCGTAACTTCATATCCCATACGCAAACAAAGATGTAACTTCCCATCCGCAGCTATTCATAATCCATCAAGTTTTCTCGCTACCCTAAATAAGATGCCCAAATGATCTCCCATGATGATGAGACCAGCTCTTGTGTGGACGGCAGAATGTCCTACCTCAATCGCGAACCTATCGGTCATTGATGGATGATATATGGTCCTTCGAATTGTGCCATTCCAGAATCATCATACTGCATTGGCAAACCATCATAAGGCATATCCAATCCATCCGGCAAATTTCCCCATAACATGCCATCCAGGTCCCATATCCCCCCATTATCAAGCATCATTAGTTGTTCTTCTCCCATAATCTCAACCTGCTGCAACATATCACTATCCATATAATGTCTCCCATCTATCCCCCCCATTCGATTCAAATCATCTGTCATGTGGCTCAACCCCGGACTCGATTGTCTAGTCAGAGGTCGCTTACTGACTTCATAGACCTTGCTCACCACTTCTCTGCTTCGTCTAGCAGCCAAAGACCAATCAGCCATACCATCAAATGCTTCGAGCACAACTTCAATCTGTGATTGCCAAATCCGAACGAGATTTGTGTTCCATGATTCCCAGAATATACTGACAAGTGGAATCATGGATGCTTGATACATGAACCACACACCATTCCATCCTAGCATTTGATTTGGAGTCCATTCACGTGCTATATCTTCAATGGTTTCTTGAGCAATTGTACGACATGTTCGGACGGCTGTAAGTTCTTCCTTGGTGGGTGAAATTCCTTGATTACCTCTATTCGCAAGATTCAGAAGAACAGGTCTATAAAGCACCATGCGAAGATTCTGATATCTCCATTTCATGACACATCGAGCCGTATGAATTGATTCTGGACAAGGTTCTGTAGAGCGTAAGATCCAAGGAAGATTGTCATACCATTCAACGAGCTGTCTGTCGAGATTTGCAAGGTCGTCAGTTCGGAGAAGTGGAGTCTGAGCAAGAGCGTCCTGAATTTGTGTGGCAACTTTACAAAATTTGATGTTCTCCATTAGGGGAGTAATATTCATATTTTGATTCTAGGATAACATTAGCTATGAACAAGTAAATTGGAACGGGATTTACAAACAGTGCTCATCGTTGATTCGGGAGGCTGCATGGTAATAGCAGGGCCCCAGCGACCCATGGAAGGTCTTCCTAATGTCGTAGACGCCCATGTATCAAGACAGAATAAACTCCACCACGTTCTTCGTCTCTGTTCTGCAATCAAATTGCTCTCAACGCTGTTCTCATGCATACTTTCACGATGTAAGCCCATTGCACAAGCCATTCTTAAAGCAGCTCCACAGATAGCATTGGCCGTGTTTGGACGATTGATGTAGTGAAGATAAAAACCTCCCATCAATGAAAGAGCTTGTAGTGTTTCCAAATGCCCACTACCGAAAGAATCAATTCCTAGGTGGTCTTTCGCTTGATTGTAGTAATTGATATGGTTGTGATCGTCTGATTTGCTTGCGACAATACTTCCCATTGCAAATACCATGTTTAACAGACCAAGCCACGGGGCATCTTGACGTCGCCCACTCAAAAAGTCGGCTCTAAACGTAGGTTCATCAAGCATTGGTACAAATATTTGTACTCTGTTAAAATATGCATCAATAAGAGTCTGGCCATTAGATGACCATGAGATCGCCTGTAAATCTTTGGCAGAGCTTCCTGATCGCGGCGTGGGATAGTTACTACTTGCTGAAATTTGCTTATTGTTAGAAGGTGCCAGAAAGAGAGATCGTAGTTTCGGTGCTACCTTGAGCATAACCAAAAGTGCGGCTTTAATTGAAGTCGCACCTAAGTACGACGACTGTCTATCAACTGAGAGAGACAAAGCATTTACATCATCCGCCTCTGTAGGTATTGGATCTCGATTTCTTCTTTCCTCATCCCATTCAATATCTTGATTTGGTATCTGTTCGAGATTTGCTAGGCTCCTATCTTCGTCCGACCCAGAGTTCAAGGGTGATCTATACTCCTGTGATATTGGAGAGGTATTTGAAGCAGATGGGGATGTATTCGAGAGCGCACTTCGCGGGGACCGGTCGATGAGGGCAACGAGTTCGTTTCGCGACAACGGCAACAATTGTTGCACTTCTTGATCCGGATAAAGTCGCCGTAAAACGGTACGACATTCGTCTAGGGATTGAGAGAGAGTATCAAGGGTTCTACTTCAATCAGTACTTTAAAGCAGCATTTGGAAGCACAATCATCGTACTTTCGAGATGGAATTACTCTCTGTCTATGTTTATCGTAGTAACATGGTTTGGGAGAACGACATCCAACACATTGCCCACAAGGCTGTCGGCCGTCGCATCGAATTTTACGACGTTTACATTCTGCACATGCGTGTGGAGTTGTAATTCGTTTTGTTACTCCATTCGTCGTCGGCTTGGGGGTATTTACAACTATTGATTGTTCTGTGCTTAAAGTTTCGCGGGGTGGCGCCAGTCCTTGAACTAATACAACGTTGGAACAATGATCAGCATGGGACTTTCTTACTCCACTCGGTAATTCGGATGTCTTCTTTTTGAATATATACTTACAAGTATGAAACATCTTTGTTGAACCAATTGATGAAGGCATGAAACTGGGTGCCGATGTCCGAAGGACAATATCCGACCTACCTCAATAGAATTCGATTTGGATCGGATTGGGGTCTGGGATAAGTTGCGAATTGATTACAGCAAGTGCAGCTTTATCAACTCAATATGAAATATGACAAAAATATGTCGATAATAGTATCTCCTTGGCCTCTGAGCTGAGAAATCGCATGTGCGTGAGTTGATGGTAAGACGTTCAAGAACGCTGGAGGTACGGGGAATGACTGCAGTGTTTCCGGTAAACTTCAATTCGTAAAATACTGGCAAACCAACGGTCACGGATGAAGGCGCCGACGTCGTTTTTGGGGGAAAGCTGACATTCGCTGACGGCAGCAGGACTCTTCTTTTGGCCGAAATCCTTGATATATTGGATATATTGCAATATTATATCTGCCACGGTGTAGTTGTGAAACGTTGAAAGCTTCCTGGCGTCGTTTAATGCAACCGTGGGGCTTGTAAGTATTCTGGCCACAACATATATGAATATGCAGATCCTCACGAGGAACATGAGCTGATTTCCTCCTTACTGGATCTCGTGCTTGGAAGGTACTCCAAGTTCCAAACCTCTTCCTGCATTGACAGGGAAACGAAAATTGGGATAGTCTTTGTAGGATACTCAATTAGGTCTTAATGAAGAATCATATGCTTGGATTCTATGTCAGATTGACATTTTCTGTTGGTGTTCAGCAATAAAAGTCGTTGTAGATCTGTTGGACACGAGGGTTGATGATCCCTCCAGTTTTGTATAGCTTTGAGGATCGAAGACTATATTAGACCATTCAGACCTGTCGTACTACGGGGAAAGTACTCTACTTGTCAAATTTCATCTGATCTTTCTTTTTTCCGCCTCCACGATCCCATTTTCCCCCAGCAATTTCCCCACACGGTTCCTGTACTACGCTTGGCCAATTAACACGTCGAAAAGCAAGTATAACGCAGCAGTCCCAATCTCGGATAGGCGGAGAAAACTTGGGGAAGTTGATTGGGGACAAGAATGGGGGTGAGTGGGGAAGTTGACTAGGATTTAGAGAAATATCGGAAAATCTATTTGGCGATTTTATTTACCTTGAAGTCTGGAACCATATATTTCAATACACATCCTCATATCAAAAGACTCTTCTCTTTCAACCCAAAGTCTAATCCATTGTACTTCTTGACGAAAAAGATCACGGCAGGAAAAGGGGCAACACAATCATCAATCCACACATCAAGCAACCTCCCACACCAAAATTAAGCTCAAGAGCTGCAAAAATTATCTCAACACGTGTCAGGAATCCTCGCCGTGGATTTCTCGTCTCCAAACTTTCACTGCGCCAGAGTCTCGGACTCTGTAGAATGGCTTGTTGGCTTACCTACCACAACTAAAATACTTCTCAGCAACGACTCAACTCATTTATGGTAGGTTCAGACTGCATCCCATATTTGATCACGTACGGAGAGTCTGCATTTCATGCAGTACAGGAAGTCTTTTTAACAATTGCTTAGACAATCCGAGACCCTGGAAGAGGTAAGCCAAGGTCAGTCATCTCAAGGACGTTGCAGCCTTCCTGCAGTAATTCGCCGAATCTACAAGCTGCAGTTGCGGCAGCGCGACGAGCTAAAAACATATAAAATTATCGAACTTCAGCTATGATTCTCAACGGCACAAAGCCGCGTCCTGACTGCACGTCCTTTCCGCGGCGTATCAAGCATGACATATTCGTCTTTGAAGCTTACATTTTGTCTTCGCCGATGATCTAGTATCCACGCATTCTTTTTCTCATACAACGGCCGGAAGAACCATTCGGAGATCCCAAGACTTTCATTGTCACGTTCTCCAACTTGATAGCCGAGTAGATTTCCTAATCAAGACTTACGAGCAGCAGATACCCGGTCGATTTATGTTCCCTCCCGTGACATGGGTAAGGATATACTTTCGCGAAACGCGGGGTGATTGCCAGTAAGTATTGAAATCCGGTCTCCCAAAATCTTACACAGGTTCCCCGCCTAGCGATTGTGGGGAAATGTGATGAATTCGGAAAAAATCGCAATATATGTAACTTAAACTTGGAGGGTATTCCCGGTACATAGTTGTGAGCCGCGTTCATTATGCCGAACCGATAATTAGTGTGTAACGGCGGCTGAGTATAGGCACTTCAGCCGAGTCCCGCTTTGAATGGTTATTGGTTGTAGATCTACATGCTGGCGTCACTTTGAAAAATATATCGTTCGTATTGTGGTATTGCCAGCTCATATATATGTGTGTTGGGGCTCTATAGTTTCTGATTGGGCGCCTGACTACACGAAGGGGCTTAAAGTATTTCCCGAATTGACTTGGTGCACCAGCCGCTGCTACCATTATATTGAATCGGTAGTAATGGTTCCGCCATATATCTTATAGCTGTAAGAGTTGATGTTAGGTCGCCGGTACTCACCCAGGAATTGAGATATATCGTATGAGAGGGAATAGAAGATGATCGTCGTGAATCTACCAAGTAGCCATCAGAACAGAGATCTGCATAGCCAGCTCTGCATTTGTTCCCATATCCACCCCGGTTCATATGTTGAAGAATGAAGTATTTCCCTCGGAAGGTTCCTTTACTGTGTGACCCAGCCAAGCTGATTGATCTGACACAGCTTTGGCAGTTGGGCTGATTTGACACTGGGATTTATAATAGGATTGGTCATCGTGGACATGTAGATTGACTTACGTGTTCTAGAAGCAGTGCGTCATCTAGATTAAGATTCTCGGGGGGGGAGTAAGCTTTACAGCATCAGGTTCGGGGATTTTCTCTGCTTCTATGCAAGACGTTTCCGCAAATAGTATCATGGGTGGTGCCTCGTAGGGACATCTTTTTCGCTCTCCTGCATGACGCATATGAACTCCATCCAAAGGCTTCTAGGTCCTCAACTACCAAATTAGGCATCAGTGCCGCCCCCAAAAATTCATCAAGGCTGTTTACGAGCCCGCTATCATTGATCCTTGTTGTGAATCATAATCGAAAGCTAATGGGTCATGGTCAAGATCGATAAATTTGGTCGGTTCATTGTGTGGAGTGTTGTCAAATAGGTGTCAACACGATTATTATGCACGCCATCTGCAGAAGTGTCTCCACCTCTCAAATCGTTTTAGGAATCTGTCGTCATGAGTTTGCGAGACGTCACGGACATTTTGATAAGTAGATAAAATACATTGGTAGATATATTTACCAGGTTTGCGGCTATTCTTGAATAGTTTAACACTACCGAAACACATCACGCTATATCATTCTTGCAATGCCACAAAAGGGTTTGTAGTAGCCTCCGGTTGGGAGGTGCATCATGCATAAAATTTCCATTTTCCCAGTCTCAAGAATTGCCTAAGTTATTATGCATTGAGAAATACCAGCTTGTACTTGCACGCTTTTCGATTTCGATACCTCCATAACTATTTCCTGATTTGATTACATAGCTTTTGATACGAAGATTGAAGCACTTGTAGCATGTCTTTTGGTAAGTATGATGTCATCACTGTTCTCATCAACATCGTGGGTTCATTCCATCACACCTAATTTCAGATATTGACTCTCGTCTAATCGTCGCTAGCAATCATGCGACGGTTCTTTAGAAATACAAATTCGCAGAATATTCTCTATGAAGATTTTGAGAGAAGGACATATTTGGGTTTATTGGGATACGAGGAATAGATGACGAGATCTTTGTTTGAATTGATATCTTTAGGCACATAACAACAATATTGGCTCTTAGCTTTGATTTAACAGGCGTCTTATTAGCCAAACATTCCATATCAAGATTGTTTCAAATGCATATTGTGGGCACTGACTGGGGGGTTTCGGGGTGTGGCTGGGACTAGAAGTGCATGTTGATTTTCATGATGGAATGACTGTATAAGTAGGTACTTCTATTCGATCATGCTTGTAAAACAGTAGAGTAAATCGTAAAATTTATTCAAGTAGGTCATCATCTACTAGGCTTTGGTCGTTCTTGCTGCATCATAGCACTGATGAATTTCATTTAGAACGCACGCGAACCGAGTTCAACCCCCATAAAAGAAACCCTGACATCACTAAGGATTACTTAAATATGAAAGGGTGGTAACAAGTAGAGAATTCTTGTGAATTATTAAGATAGCATGGAAGAGGCAACGAACGGATTTCATCCCTCAATGACTTGAATCTGCGTGGCTAATTGAAGTAGTGTAGCAAATCAGCTAATGAGGGCAAAATCGTTGCATGCTGCTGCACTCAACCCCGATTTGTCGATAGCCTGAACAGAGTTCCTAATTCTTTTGATAGTATCGTGTTTAGCAGCTTGGCCTTTTTCCAATTTAAAGCACAGCGAATCGGCCTTCAGGAGATCGAATTTGGCAGTAATTGATCCTAGTGACCATGTAATGTATGGCCATTCTGGAAAAGGATACAATCCATTACGCGCAGCACTCTTGATGAGAGATCCAAGCACCATTGAATCGCAATCTACTCTATAAGAAGATAGATCACGGTCAGTTTGACGTCCAAGTGGATCGACAGCGTCGGGGACAGCAGACGAATTGCAATTGATGATCGAGCTTTGGTATTCCAATAAAGTATGCTTAAGTATCGTCACAGCTTTGTGAATTCCTTCAATTCGAGATGATTCCAATTTATCTTTCAAAGTTAACGACATGCTTGTTTCAATGTTCAATATTGCAGAAAACTTACCAGCCACGAATTTTGGAATCGGTAGGTCGTATCCGATCGTTGCCATCAACACCTCAAAACTAAAAGTGCAACTTTCTCGCACAATTTGTGTAGCTCTTCGGAATTCGTCGTGTAGCTCGAATTGCCAAGCTATGCATATCCAGCGGCCGATATCGTCCCATGCATATTCCGAAAACTTAGATGGCAATTCATCCTTCCATATAGCAGGTAGCAGCCTTACAGCTTCCCGACACTGATATCTATCCACTAGAATTGCTATCTGAGTGAACAAATTCAAGTCAATCTTCAACGGAACCGAATTCATGCGACCATGAATAACATCTATCAATATTCTCATCGCAGGGGGGTCGTCGTCTGGAAGTGGAAGTTCCAGTTTTCCCGTGGTCCTCAGCACAAGATCTTCGTGGGATTCGCCCTTTATAATTGCCTTGAATACTGGAGAGGCTAAAGACATATGCTTCGAAGATACTAGGATGCGATCATGATAGAATAGGGTTGAATCGCTGGTAGAAGATTCAAAGTCAAGGGAAGCTCTTTTTTTCACATCGGCATCGCTGGACGTCTCTGTATCTGGGGTGTTGCAAGTTGAGTTAAGTGCAGACATCATCGCGTCGAAACTTGGAGGATCTGGGGTGTTGGGATTCAGCAAAAGGACCAAATCTCCATCGGGATCGACCACGATGTTTGCGCTCGAAGACATTGCCATCGTATAATAATTATTTCGGGTCTGACGGGGAAACTGTTCGAAAAAGAAGAGTTAGAGAGGGCAGTGTGGTAATCAATTATCTTGTGCCATCGCGAAGTGAGGGCAATCTGTCACAATCACAATCACAACCTATCTTAGAAAGTAGTTCAGCGGTTAATTCATACCCTATTGGAAGTTGTGGCGGGTAAACCTCAATGTAACGGAACATGTGGTCCGTGTGTAACGGCTTTCACTAGCTTGCTGAGAAACGACCGCATTACAGCGTATCTTGCCCGAGTAGGTGAGCCTGGGGCCAGGTTTCCGAAACCTCTCATTCCTAAATTGAAATGGTATCGCAATGGCGAAGACGCCTAAAATTCGCAGAAAGTATTATATCAAACTAGGAAAATTTGCGTGGTTAAAAGACAGCACCCACTATAATTTAATGAAAGTAGAGTACCTATATCAAACTTTCAGGATAAATCATACAGTGTGTTCGTGTTTGCTTTATTGATCGAAGTGTTTGTTGATATACAAGTAATAGACATGCTTGAGGGCTAGAGATAGCAGGTATGTCCGACGGGCTTAGCGAGCTGTGTACACCGGTGTACTTAGCTAGCTTTGGCTAGTGTATGGAAATGAGAACTTATTTTACCTAGTAGTCCGGGAGTGAACCAATAATGTAAAAAGCGTTATAACTAAATTACAGATCAATGAACGTTCGGAGCTGTCAAACAGTGATCCTGACGTATCAAAAAGGTGGACATTCCAATCACAACATAGGTACAACATGTATGTATTCACATATCAGAAAGATACAGTAGAATAGATGCATATTATTGAGGTAGGCTCAGCCCGGCCTTCAATTCTGCATAAAGCTGTTAGTATCTTCGTTCCAGAACGAATGATCAACAGTTCGTTGTTTCGTAACTAGAATATCTACCCGTTCTTTATTTTCTCTCTCATATTCTACACATATGTAGGCAACAGGCTCCTCATCTTTCAATTCAGTGTAATTTCCAAAATCTCCTCTGGGCAAAAGTGAGATTGCAGATCTGAGATAGAAATCGGTGTCCTGGGTTACGCTATAATAGAAGGACCGCAGTCAATAACCAGACAAGGACAAACTCAAGTCCATGACTGCGTTTTATGTGAAAATTGTCCTCATCCATCTCCCAGGGACCATATTGCTGTGGAAGATATTTATCGATAGGATTGGAGAAGGTATGAGGAAAGCTAATGAGTACACGTGAGGATCCTACTTGCAATCTGCCAGACTCAATCCAGATAAATTTTCATCCATGGACTTGATCGATTGTTGAATCATTTTCAGAATATCGTGGTGTAAAGATTCGTCTTGTACAACTACATCGCAGGCTGTCTGGGCGTTGAGTGTCTCGATGCTGCCCTTGACTCCGCAATACCGCAGCGAATCATCAAATGGAGCTTCTGGAAGCGGAAACAGCCCTTTCTCTGTGGCACTTTTTATGAGACTTCCAAGAACTGTTGCATCGCAGGTTTCTCGTTGAGATGTTATGTCCAAGACAGGCGAACTGTGGCTGGGACATATCAAAGTTTGGCTCTGGTACCTAGATATTGTATCCTTGAGAACGTTGATGAGTTGGCTTACGGCATTCTCACGGCTTTTATCTATCTTATCTTTAAAACGTGTTAGCGACAGAAAATTCTTCGTTCGATTTGAAATCTTACTGATAACCCTTTCTGGGATAGGAAAATCTAGATCATTCTCCTTTAGTATTGCTCCAAGGCCCACACCACTTTCCCTGATGATCTTCTCTGTCGCTTCTTTGAACTCATCATCTATTCCAAATACCCATGCCACACATATCCAGCAAGCAGTACCGTACCAGCTCCAGCTCTGACTCCATGGAAGTAGACGATGGTTGGCGATCCAAACCTTAACTGCCAACTCGGTCGGCTCATGGCATTGATATTTGTCAACCAAGATTGCGATTTCAGTAAACAAAGCTAAACCGGGATTTTTCGTGACTGATTTGAAGCGGCCATGTATAATATTAACCAATGTGATCATAGCACTTGCATCATCATCTGGAAGTGGTATCTCGATTCTACCTTTCTCCCTGAGTTCAACAGCCTCCTTGAAATCTCCTGTCAACATAGCTTTAAATACTGGTGAAGCAAACGACATATGCTTTGAAGAGACCAGTACTTTAGACTTGAACGTTTGAGTACACACATTTTGTGTTTCTCCAGGGCTGTTGGCTGCCTCTGGACTGAAAACGTTTGCGTTAGGAACGTTGATCTGAGGTTTTGAGCTGGATTCATTCGATTCACGAATTGGCATCAGCTCTAAAAGGAGTACCAGATCTCCATCGGGATCGACGGTAACAACAGAGCTTGAAGGAGCAGCCATGATATCTAAGCCTGTAATAATTAAGAGACTCTTCAAGAAGAGTGCGGTTCTCCAGATGATGTCCCGTGATGTACTTGCAAATGGGTTATTAATTGACGCTGAAAGGGTATGAGTTGTTGATGTTTTAAATCCAACTCAGGTTGGGTATGTAAGACCTTCCAAGAAATTTCGAGATACGGCACCAGGGTGGTGCTTTGCGCGCTAACGGAAGTAATTCGGCCATCACAATTGAATGTCAAATGATAAGATGGAGAACCCAGGGGTTTTCCTACGATAATGAGCACTTAATCAGTCAACCATTATCTTTAAGTTTCTTTCATTGAGTTTTCCTCTTTCCGGGGAGCCCGAGATTAGTATTCTCACAATTTCGGTATGACTCTTCAAGGACCCCGCGCCATTCTACTGGATTCGCCAGAAAGAATGATCTACAAACACCATTCATGCAGAATTGAAAGCCGGGTATTGTAAAATCAAAGATACAACTATAATAATAAACCTGATATAACAATCTTTATTCTCATATCTCTTATTTTCAATATCTCAATTTGCTTCAATCTTATTAATACTTTTTTTTGTTTATTTATTTATTTATTTTCTGAAATAGTATATACTCATAGTTATAGCGTGATTCGTCACCGAGTGGATCATGTCACCGAATGGATCACTTGAAAATGCATAAAAATCAGCCTTTTTTTAAATATTCCTATCTTAATAACTAATCATTATTTTTAAAAATCAAAAGAATATAAAAGAATAATAAAAATTATGTTTCTTAGAAATCTAATTTTTATATAAACATTTCTATTCTATTCAAGAAAAATTGAAAATGTTATGATTTTCATTACAAAAAAACTATTCTTATAATAACTCTTACAATAATTCAAATTTTCGAAAAAATGCTAGAGTTTTGTAATATTTTTATAATTAAATTTCATATCGTCAATTTTTAAAAAATTCTATCCATAGATAAAGAAAGTGCACGATTACACACGGACGAATTTTGTATGTAAATTGAGTGATCCATTCGGTGATATGATCCACTCGGTGATGAATCACGCTATTCAAATATTATTCTAGAGATATTCTTATATTTCATCAGCTTTGTTTGGCGCCTAGAATTAAGAGCCTACTTTATATTTTATAATGAATTAAGGAAAGTCATATAGCTATATAGCTCATTGCTATTAAGAAGAATTGTATGAGTCTTGTGATTAAGGAGACAAGCTTCCAGACCAGTGGAAGCATTGATTCTGCTGGGGAGGGGGAAAATGGGCGGTGGACGTGGATTAGATTGCTCAGATGTATGGAAGTATGAATAATGTATGGATGGATTGGTACTTTGAAATTTCACATCAAAAGAAGAAGAAAATTCGCAATGTGGGATTACACTCGTGTGAATATCGACATATTCTTACGTATGGCGGCTACAAGCCACTAATTGAATGAGGAAATCTGCAAATTCTGAGTTCTTAAGATATATCTTGAATCTAAGTAGTGTTCTCATTACTAGAGTGTTTGTCTTAATATTCTTCCTCGCATTGGTCCTTCCAGAAACCTACCAACGCCGGTGTATTACTAAATCACGCTTAAGAATCCAGAACAATATCGCACACTTTGTCTTGAAGAAACATACAATCGAAGGATCTAGAGCGACTATTTATATTATGCGCTAGATCTGAAAGATGAAGTTTGGTTAATGGACGAGCAGTCAATGTCTGGATGGAAGTCTCGGCTCGTTGCTGCTAATCCAGACTATCAACTCAGATGTGTATGTCGATGTTTTTGCAAAAGAAATGTATCTTAACAGCCTTGGTTTAAGATGGATAAACCTTTATGGGCGAACGCAGGTGACATCTATCTACTATCGAGAGCCTTCTTGAAATCTGCCAGGTCCAAGCCCGATATCTGTCCATCTACAGCCTCAACCGAGTGGAAGATTGTCGTCAAGAAATGATGGCTATTGATAGACCTATTTGGCACTTTCTCACAACCATTGGTAACTTCAAACGCCTTCATCTTGTCTCTAACAATATTGAAGCTCGAGTTCATCTGTGGGGACGAGTATCCAGAGTAGAGTAGGCCCTGTCGAGTAGCGCTTCAAATGAGAGATCCGAGAACTGTTGAATCTCAGTATCCTCTGTGGGATGTTATTGGCCCTAGATCCGGAATTGAAACTGAAAGAAATGGCGAAACTAGCTAGGAAATGGTTGGACATATCAGAGGCGAGCCTTGATACACGAATACGGTGCCACTTGGTATCTAACTCAAGTTGTTTATGGCTCACGTTCTCTGTCTGCCTCTTCTAGGTAACTTTTAGTACTCTTAATGTTTCGTAATCTTAGATATAAAATATTGCAGATAACTTTGGTTATAATAGGGAGATCAAAATAGAATTTCTTGTCCACTATTTCATGAATCGCCGTGCAACTTACTCTGATCAATCTTTCCGCAACTTCTTTTGATCTAGAATCCGGCTCAGATACGCATGTAACACATTCCCAGTAATCCAATGCGTGGAAGCTTGTTTGAACTGCTATTTGTGTAAAGACTTTCAAATCGTGCAGCACCAAGATCAATTTGAAGCGGCCATGTATGGCTTTGGTCACCGTGACTACAGCGCTTACACTTTCATTTGGAAGACAAATTTCGGATTTTCCCTTTTTACCAAACCTGTCAACAAAGCTTTGAAGACTGGTGAGGCAAGTGATCTGTGTTTCAAAGAAACAAGGAAGTGAAATCTGTACCGTTAGGCAGGGCGGCCTCGATATGGTCATCTTAGATCGACCTTGTAGTACTCAGCTAAATATATGACCTTGGCCTGATTTTGGCCAGCCCCATGCTAAAATTATTGCAGGTAATATTTAGGTCGACAACCAAAAAGTAGGTTGCCTAATAATTGAAAAGATCGATAATTGTTGTTAATATTTGACTGCTAATTATTTGAAAGTATAAATAGCAAATAGATGTGTGATTTTTCAATATGATAAAGATTAAAAGCTTTCAAATTTCACATCAATCTTCTTAAATTCTTTATAAAACCTCAAAGGAAAGATATATAGCTCTGATTATCATAATGCCATCTTCAGGTAAAAGAGACGGAGGGAGGAGTTTAACTCCAAAGGAAAGACCAACAAACGCCGTCAAAACTCGCCCTTCAAATTCTAACAGTGGAGAACAATCCGCATTACAAAAACTTTCCTCCAATGATCAAGTCAAGAAAAGTGAAGACAGTAAAAACAAGGGGTCTTCATCATCAGGAACAAATGAGATTTCAAAAGAAGAGTCTTTGAAAAAGCTAGAGGATCAGATAAAAGATACTGATGTCATGATAAATAAATTTAATAGATGGGTTGAAAGGGATCCTAAAGCCGTAAAGGATGTTGAGGATGCTATGGCTTTACGGCAGGGGCTTAGGATAGCAAAGAGACATCTAGAAAAACAGATAATGGCAAAAGAGAAGTTTCAAGAGTTAACAAAGACAAAAAAGTTTGAGGAAGATATAAAAACTTATAGAGAGACCCTTCAAAAAGTGTAAGAAAACACAATCAAGTTGAGAGGAAAGTAGAAACCCATATGAAGCAGCTTAAAGAACCGGAGAAAAGTGGCAGGGTTAGGGTTCGATTATAGGTTGGCATCGTCTGCAGAATGGCTGCTTCTCTATTTGATAAGATTTTCGCGTCGCCGAAGATATTTGTGGCACCAGCGTTAATTTGGAATCCTACAATGGAATATTCGCATAGCTTATGACACAAAAGCAGTATCAAATATCTATCGGGATCAAGAGTAATAGCAGAAGTTGAAGCGACAGCCATTTCCCTGTACTTGTCTTGACTGAGGAACTCGTATGAGGGAGTTTCTAGGTCTGAGTAAGGAAAAGCAATTTTCGGTTAACCATTCATTGATTGAAGTTGCTTGAAGAGAAATTCGTGATGACAGAATGTGAATGCAAAAATTGTCCTGAAATGCTATGATCCAATTAGTATAGCTTGTTTCCAGAAATATGACTTGCTTGATGGTAGATACTTGATTTCAACGTGATAGGATTTATGTTGAGTCTTTGATGGGAAACCAATCATAGATCAAAATGCTCAGCTAGATGCACATATTTGATTGGCTTGTATCGGACACGATTGATATTTGCATCTAAAAATGCCAGTTTATATGTTTCTCTGCCGAGAATCTCTGGAATATCTGTCTATTTGTGGATTACTACGGAACTTCCAAACTTTGAAGTGAATATCAAAAAGTGACCTAATTTATCCCACAAAATCACTGACAATGTACACCTTTTTGAGCATGGAATTTCAGTTTTTCGCGCACACTTTTGATACAAGAAAGGAGATAATGTCGGTTTTCTCTTTTTCTCTTTTTCTCTATTTTTATTTTTTTGATTGTTGCTCAGAAAACGAAAATCATGTTTGTGCATCGGTGGTACATCAAACAATAAATCAAAATAATAACAAAACTTATTTGAAAATACCTATCTTCATGTCCCTTTCACTCTAGAGTCTAAACATCTCAATTCACCCAACTTCATATTCCAAGCTACATCCCTTTCATCCCTTCTCAGATCTTGTTTGCATTCTCAATTGCGACTTTCCTCTCTCCTTCGGATGTTCGATCAAGTATCTATGTGAAGTGTGACTCTGGAGAATAGGTATATTATGTAATAAACAATAGGGTGGACGTTATTCTTTAGCGATTAAATCTCCAAGACATGTACAACACGGAAAAATGTCACTGCAGTACGAATAATTCTAACTTGTACAAACCAAACAAATACCTGATGTGTACCCCACGATCGCTCTACTGTGTTGATCTCCTTCGGGAGCACATTTCAAGAAGTGTAGTGTTGAGCAAGCATCAGGGTAGTGAATAAACTCACGTGACATCACGGTCTAAAACGTCTTGTTGCACATCGGAAAAAATGCGCTCGCTTTCTCATTGGTCGATGGCTGAAAGCTGAAAAAGCACACTTCCCATTTGATGTTAGTGATGAAAATAGGTGCGCTGTGATGCGCTTTGAAATCGCATTCTGATGGTATGAGAATATATTCGACGTTGAAATTTGGACAATTTTGTTGGACTACATCGTGAGTGAATTTGACGGTTTGGTGGCGGGAGATTGGGAGTATGATCGATGGATAGACAACTACCACTTTCCGAATCTCGGGATCTCTAGACAGATGCCAATAATCGAAAATGAAGTCGGCAGTTGAAAGCGATAATAGATAATTACTTTGACGGTGAAGACGACTTGCAAGTAGTGTTGGTGGTTCTGGTAGTCATGACGTCATATCGAGAGTATATTTTTTGATTCTTCTTTTTGAACTCAGATATGCTAGATCTCTGGCGGATGTATGAACTTTCTTTTGTTAGCAACATGAACCCAGAAAGTATGCTATGAAGATAATAAGCAGCAAAGTTTGAGAAAGAATAGAGGTAGAACAGAATCTAGTGTGTCATCTTCATGGTCACAGAGTATTGTTTGGTATTAGAAAGGCGGCTGGAACCGATTTGCGATGATTCCACACGAACATGTTTGTATTTGCTTTCAAGGTTATATGAGATCAATAACTTTGAGTGGGTGAAGAAAACGGTTGAGAATAAAAGTGAAAGTGAATAGTCGACCATCTGAATGCACCACAGTCCACAATCTAGAATTCGAACCGAGAATTTGTTGCACATCTACAAAATTTGACCCATTCTGGAATTTGACGTAAGCAAGTAGAAAGAGCCAATAGATCCTTGAGCGCAAACTTAGGTCCGGAAGACTTGTTGGGGCTTAGCTTCTGTGGTGGGTGAAGAAGCATGGAGAGCGGGATGGATATTTTTAGCTTATATACTACGTCACTATTAAATAACAGGTTGGGGTCAGCATTCACTATCCGTAGCTATTGCATCAGATGCGAGTATCTGGAACGGTATGAAGTCAATATGGATGTGAGAAGTATCCATTGCATATTTTCAGGTTGGATACAAATTCGAAAACAACCTATCTAATAAAACCAAAGAAGCTGATGAACACAATCTATAAGAAAGACAGCGAACTCACTTGCAACAATGGCATCAAAGTGCAGGGATACGTTCATTTTTTGAAAGGGGCTCAATGTAGGTCTAGATTTGGACTAGACCCCCAACCTCAACCTTTTTACACTTCCGTTCAACTTGATGTACTCCCAATGAAAGCCCTGTTGAGCTTTCAAGCACTTGCTCAACACAAATATAAGGCCTTGGAATCTAAAGAATGAGTTTACCAGCATATCACTCTATCACAACAATGACCATATCCCATCTTGCCAACATACGCGAGTGAATGATCATCCAATATACTAGCAATAAACACTAGCTTGAAATTAACTATAAAGCTTAGGCCACGGAATTCTCTAGAGTCAGTATCCTCACTACTAAAAGTGAATCGAGTACAATCTAGATCCCAATCTAGACCCTTCCATTTCGTTTTGTTGCATATCTGATCGATCTCGACATTGACGTAATCAAGTTTCTGGGACCAGTAGAAGAGCGAGCGCAAACTTTTAGCTTTGGTAGGAGCCAATGAATCACCGTTACGAAAAATGAACTTTGGGAAAGCACGCTAGTGGGTTATCATGACGAGATTATCGAGTCGAGCGGAAAGTGAGTTTGTGTGCGCTTGGTAGAGAACTTATATGGTAAGAGAAGTATGGGTATCTATTTATTGAGAACGAAAGTTGATCAAGAGATGATTTGTGTTATATGGACAGTTTGGAAGGAAGACAATATTGTGGCGCTTGTGCCGGGCATTGTTCATGCCTTCTTTAATAATTGCTCAGAGTTTGATATCTGGTCTTTTTTAGTTTTCACGTGCCCATTTGTATTATCTATCCTATCAACTCTTCTTGGAGAAGGATACCTGAGATTCATCGTATTATTGCATCTGATATCGCTCCATACTCAGTACCTCTTGGAGATACTGGATTATCATTATTCATATGGGAGAAATATCAAAGACCGCTCGTGAGTCGCAGAACTGAAAAAAAAAACTCCCTTCAGCAACTTTAAGATGTATTCTGCTACTTTTACAGATGGTCTATTCATCCTCAGAGGGCGAATCAGCATTCATCAAACTCTTACTCAAGGAGATGATAAACTAGATGCGAGGTTGCTATCTTGTTGCTATTGGTGACTATTTACTTTACCTTATTGCACTTATAAATGGCAGCTTCGGACATTCTTCGTGGATATATCAATCATGTTACGTCTTCTACAGACTAAATTCTTTCCGAAGCATAGTAATCTAGAGTCGGACAATCAAATACGCCGTCTCCGGCACAAATTGACATGCCTATAACGATGTGACTTTTTGAGAGTTGAAGTGGTTTTGTTGTTGACTGTCTTGATGATACTGTGATCTTATTAAGTTATTGATTTAACGATAGTATATCAGACATTAAAAGTTCGTTGCTACTGAAAACTGCTTATTGTCACTTGTCCAAGTTATTGCTACCCGAGTCTTTTCTTTTCACAAAATAGCCACGTACTGAAAGAGCCAAATCTCACAGATTATCAAGACCTCAGGTTATCGTAATTATTCCCATTGCTGCTCAATAATTCTTATCTCTATTTACAGATAAGATCTTTCCAATATGAAGTGTTGTCTAACCTGGAAGCCATATTTATCGCAGAAATAAGAATACCGTGACTCACCAGAATGGTACCATCTCGTTTGCTAAGCAAACTCATGAAGTATAAATTCGATGATTTTCGGGGTGTAGATTCTTCCCAAACAGAGCGATTAGAAAAGTTTTCTCCAAATACAAGGAGGCTCTCGAGAGGCATTCGATTAATATATGCTGGATACCTTGCAATGATTCGGGAGGCTTTTGCTTGGAGATTGGTGGAAGATTGTTTGGGCAAGTTTCGATCTGTGGATAGTTACCGGTAGCAATTTGATGTATAGGAATGATAGTGAAATGCTATTTGCAAACTGCAGTTGTTGCGATTTCTTGATAGTATAAATCCAGCAAATCGGCAAGAGAAAGTGAAAGATCATGCCATCAAAGGACACCGGCAACAATTAGCTCAGAAGTATCGCTATCATAGCTCATATCTTTATCAGATATGTATCGATAGCGTTAATTGGGCGCAAAGATTCTGGCTTTCATGTGTGATTCGTTGAAAATATGCCGAGAGAATTGAGTTTGGGAGACTGGTAGAAGTCGGGATTCCACCATTTATTGCTTAGACCTGATGCGTTGAGTCGTCGTCTCTTTTAGTTGCAGATAAACAACTACCTTCCGTCAGATTAGAGGTTAATATACCTGAGCTCCGAAGCTACTGAGTGAATTCCAACCAAAATCTAGATTTGGTAAGAAAATTTCTATCATATGACTCCACTATGGTCACGAGAGAATTGACAATTCTAAGGAATATCAATATCCCTACAGAGATCCAAACTGATGGAGAATTATATTCTATAACAACAGTAGCTGGCCGTAAATGGGTGGTTTATTACGTCTCAACGGCGTCAATGGTAGGCCGACTTGCTTTCAAAAA